CATGCCTGTAGTGACATTAATATAATGAATATTAAAATATCACATGCCTTATTTATTAATTGTTTTTTATTATTGGGTCAACTAATATAATAAATTGTTGATTCTTTTACTTATAAGAATCTTACAATACTTGCATTGGTAATATTTACTATAATTATTATCTATTACAATTAGACATTAGAAAAAAAATGGATAATAATGATATAAATATTAGTGACATATACTTTACATATAGAAATTCAGATTCCATAATTTAGTTTTGCACACTCATTATTTTATGCTTACTTAATGTTTAAGAACTAAATTGAATTCTGGATCTTATCTATTAATATACTATTTATTGGACTTTATTGTATACTTAGATAATACGATTATTTGGATTAATAAGTTATATGGAGTACTATACATTATGCTATTGTCTATATTATATTAACAATATTGAATTATGATGTCTTTAAATAATAAAATTTGTAGTCATCTCCAAAATTAATAGAGCTTATTTCAACTTCAGAAAGATATAGATGGAAAGAGATGAGTTAATGTGAACTATTTTAAGATAATTATACAAAGAATATGTGTTTTAATTAAATTAGGGAAGGAGTAATACTTTATGAATAGGGTTATGAAAAACCACCAACATTTATAAATAGATCTGCAAAATAAATGTTTTAGATATCTGATGAAAATTAGATTTAAATTGCATATTCAAATTACTGTAGAATTGAAAGGATGGAACCAAAGAGATCAATACAATCCATTAAAAGTATAGGAATTGATATGTAAAATTCCTAAAAACAATATAGTGAATCATTATCATTTAATTCAAAATAATAAAGCCAATACATACCTTAGCAAGGATTAAAAGAAATAACATTATTATAAATGCTTGATAAAATTTGGTAAAAATAAAATAAAGAAAGTTATCTATTTTATGTTTAACAATCAAAGCATCTTACTTAAGTATTATATTAAATATCAATAGTCTTAATAATCTCCTATTTTAGAAGTGAGTGTTTATTTGAACTCTTAAGTAAGAAAAGTTATGACATTAATTTGTAGAGATTTAAGTTACAAGAAATATATTAAGTAATTGTAAAGTCATTATTACTAAAAATCAAAAATGATTTCATTTGTATCACATGAATTTAGAGCACCTTTAGGTTGCATGATAACTATGTTAGAACATGTTGCTAAAGAATAAAATAATTTATATATTTAAAATTCAATAGATAACTCAAAATATCTATTGAATTTATGTAATGATTTATTAGATTTGGCATAAATTTAAGCAAATAAATTTTAGTTAAAAAAGGAAAGATTTAATTTAAAAATGTTATGTCAAGAATGTTTATAAATGTTTAATTTATAAGCTGAGAAAAAATAATTAAAATTAATGTTATAATATGATTCTAGTTGTCCAGATATTATAGAATAAGATTAAAATAGAATTAAATAAGTATTGATAAATCTAATAGGAAATGCATTTAAATTTACTTAAGAAGGATAGATTTTATTAAGAGTAGAATTAATAGATGAGTTAGTTATTGAAATCAGTATATCTGATTCTGGAATAGGAGTGTAAGAGTAGGATAAAGAAATGTTAATGAAAGCTTTTGGGAAAATAAATTCTGAGGAAAGTAAAAAATTAAATGCTTAAGGAGTGGGATTAGGATTAGTTATAAGTAATAAAATTGCATAATAATTGGGTGATGGCTTGAGATTTGAATCTATTTATCATAAAGGTTCTAGTTTTTCATTTACAATACATCTTGATAATATTTAGAGTTATGAATCAGAAATAATAAAATCAGTAAATAAGAAGTAATCAACTTTGAGAGATAGTGAAATGATGGAAAATCTATATGAAGATGGTGAAAGTTCTAAAGAGATTTAGATTATAGTGACATAACCAAAAAAATTAATGAATTCTACTGTTGAGTGTTGTTCAAAGGTATTAATTGTAGATGATACTTAATTTAATATTGATACATTGTAGATGTTATTGATAAGAATGTATTCCTTAATATTTTATCTAGAGGAATAAATTAAATTGATTATTCAATTAATGGATATAAAGCCATAGAAAAAGTAAAACTTAAAGAAAAATGTAATTAATGTAATTCAAATATGTACCAATTAATATTTATGGATTTAGAAATGCTTGGAATCAATGGTATCAATGCATCTAAACTTATATTCTCTTATTGTGAAGAAAAAAATATAAAACCACCTATAATTGTTGCTTGTTCAGGTTATCAAAAAGATATAGAATTTCCAAAATGTTAATAAGTTGGAATGAAATTTTATTTAGAAAAACCTGTTGATATAAGACAATTATAATCCATTATTGATTATTACAGAAGTACAATTTGATAAAATATATTTTTATTAAACTATTGTATTGATTACTAATTAGAATATTATATATATATATATATTGATTTATTCATTATTCCTCATCATAGAATGGACTAATCATTAAAAGAGGAAAACTCATGGCCATTGCAAATATATGGTTAGTTTTAAAGTTGTTCTAAAAATATATAATTTTATAATTACATATCCTTTTTCAACTACTTTTTTAACAAGTAAAATGTATCCAACTCCTATAAGCATAACTACTAAGAGCCACAAAAATAAAGCCACATAGAAAAAGCGATAATATTGACATATAAATTCTAAAATGTATGCTATTATTGGTGGAAATATTATATAATTGATATATTCTTTGATATTTTTCTTTATTCCTTTTTATTTAAATGCAAATCTCACTGAAATGAATTCAACACATATCAATAAATAAAAGTAAAAGAAATAGTTGGTATCCCATGAAAATATTCTAGCACTTCCAGAAACAGCTGTTTAAATACCTTACATAAGTAATGTATATAGAATAACATGTATCCAATAAAATATCTATTGATTATTACCCTAAATTTATTTAATAATTATTACATGTGTTATGTATACCGAATTAGTTAAAACAAATAAATTCAATATTATAAATAAAGTTAAAATTATCCATAATCCAGCATTCCATTAATAGTTACTTGTTACTAATTATATACCAATTAAAGCAGAAATGAAGTTAAAAAATAATGAAATACATATCTCAATCATAAATAGATAAGTTGACCATTCATAAAAATATCTACGTGCTAAAGTTCCAGCTTTTTTAATTTAAGTATGTTTTAAAGGCTATTTTTATTATTTCAATACTAAATTCTAATTTTACATTTAATTTTGATTCTATTATAATTACTATTATTATATTTGTTGATTAGGATATGGATATCCCTAAGCTTATACTTAAGAATATTGGTTTTGAACAGTAGGTATTTTTGGTATAGTAATAGATATATTTGAGTTTTATGATTGATTAAGAATCTATTGTTACAATTGTAATGGAGGGTACATTTGCTAGTTTGGTTGTACCTAAACTTAAATTTATTTCTTTTGATATAGTTCTTTTAATAATTATTGGTGCAAGTAAGAAGGCTACTACAGAATTTGGTTATATTCTTCTTAAGATACAAAGACAGGAACAAAGGTTTCTTATGTTGGTTGAGATGTCATTAAATAAATATATTAATAATATTGGATCTCATGAAAGTGATATAAATTATTAATATTGTGTTATGATTTTCCTCATTGTGCATTATTTTACTAAGAGTTCTGGCTTTATGATTATTAAACCATTTCATCACTTTTATTCAAACCGATATCAAAGAATGGTACTAAAATTAAGAAACTTAATAAAACAGCTGCGTATTTGCCATCATCAGATCTCAAATTAAACTATAATTATAATGAAATTCAAGTATACCTTTGGTGAATTAATCATTCTAGACAAAATTAATTATAAATAGAACCCAAATCCGATTGATGCACATATGATTCCACATAATATAACGTATTTGTCATAAAGAGAAAATAGTATTCCACCATAAGTAATTGATGGTATAATGATATACCAGAAGGAATCTAATTGTAAGAATTATACATTTACTTTTAAAACTTAATTGATCTAATTCTTGCATTGCATATGAAAATAGTGATAATACTTCTAAATTGATAAAGCTGAACACTATTATAACGATAACATCACCACCATTTGATTCCAAATAGTAGTTATAGTTACTACTTTGATAATATGAAAATTTATAATAGGAAGAAGAATACAAAGCCTATATAAAAAAACCATATGCTAATCCATAAACAATACACAATATTGTACTAGTTTAATTATTTTTTAATTTCTTTGAAACTGTGAATGAGTACAAAAGTGAAAGTGCCATAATCACTGTGAAGATGTAAAATGGAACTTTGAAACTACCATATAAGTCATACTAAAATTCAATAAAACCATTGCGATATGAACTACAACACAAAATTAAAGGAAAAGCTTAAAAAAGGAGGAAAAAGGAAAGAACTTATAAGTTAAAGAACCTTCTTTCCAATTTTCCAGCCAATCTTAAGGAATCATGCTTTAATATTTCTTCTTACTTTTGGATTGGAAGTAATGGTTACATAATTTGAGGTTATTATTGATATTGTAAGTATAATTATTATTAAGGTGGTATTAAGTGTTAAGGATGTTGAAATTAAGGGTACTAGATTGGTTGAACTTGATTTAGATTAAATTATGGTCTTGGTTAATACAACTAAGGGGCATATACAACAAATGTTTATTATTGAGGCTATTACAACTATGGTATTTGGTTAGGTATCTATAATTGATTCTATACCATATTGGGTACTTAAATTTAAGGATTAATAGGAATCACTTAACTAATGTCTTGAGGTGTTTATGTATCAGCCATTTTATATACAATGTTTTATTTTCTATAATTATTTATTTTCAAAAGAGTGTTTCTGAACCACTACTTCTACAATATATAATATAGAAAAAAAATGAATATTCTGCAAATAAAAAAATTCTTAAATAATAGAATAGACCTTTTTCAAACATATTTAATAATGATATAAATGAATATTAATCAATATTTAAGTTTGACATATCTTAACATTCTTCTTTGTTTCTATTCCTCTGATTGCTAAAATCTTTACCTGACCTACTCTTCAAATTCATCTATAAATAAAATCTCAGATCTTCTTGATCTAGTGGCAGTATAATATTCAGCTTAGAAAGTATTGTATAAAGTGACTGCTTAATCCCATAGTTATAGATTTCTCTCTAACTTTGTTGATGCAACTTAAACTATAGCTGATTAATTTCCTATACATTAATTTAAATGATATATTTTATCTTATAATTTTTCATCTTAATTAGATAGTCTATTTAATATTATTTTAATACTATCTTTTTAATTATTAAAAGCAGCAACAGTGGCAGCATTTGAAATAGTGAATTAATTATAAGTATCATTTATATTTTCTCTCAGTTATAATAATATTTATTCAACTCGCTCAATTTAACTTGGATCAACTGAATCTTGTTGTGATGCTAATAATGAAAAAGCATTGAATATTGGAGTATAATTGAAAGTTTTTTAAATGTTGAATGATGTCTAAAACAATTATTTGCTTATACTACTTAATTCAACAAAACTTTTTCTTCCATTAGCAATACCTGATAATATATCAAGTGCTTCATCTATAGCATGAATTGAGTCTTCATAATCTCTTCCTCTTTTTTTGAAATAGGCTTACTCATTTTCAGCTATTGTAATGATTAATGTTAAATGTTCTTGATATGTGAATAACTATTATTAATTAACTTCTTATTAATTAGTGATTCTAATTTTTGAAGTTTTACAGATATTCAACTAGGCTGTTGAAACTCTAACTACATTTGAAGCATCTTCAACTTCTTTATTTCTAAATTCAAATTTTGAATCACATTGATTATATTTTATATCATATATTTGATCATGATTCACTTATTCTTCATTAACTGCCTCTTTGAATTATCATAAAACATTTAAAACAGCATCTAATGGAGAATTTGTTTATAATTTAGACTCAACCTTAGCCAAAACAAGTCATTGATCTTTGTTTAGAATAGTTTAATTTAGTGTATGGTGAAATTGATGTTGAAGATGCTAAGGTTAAAACAAAAAGTACCTGAACTATTTTCATTTAAGAAATTAATAAAAACAAATTTCTATTATTCCCAGTAAAATACATTTATAATTTAGATTAAACTTTAATTTATTTCAAATCAACTTAATAATTAAAGAATTCTTATTAATTCAAATAAACCTAACTTTTTTCTTTTAATTTTTAAGAAATAATTTATTTATTCTTATATTTCTAGTTTGGTTTACTTGTACAATTATTTTAATAATTATTAAATACTTTGTCTATGCATAATAATCAAGATTATGTATTATTACTATAGAATAAAAAATATATTTATCTGTTAATATATTAATATATATTAATATGCATTAAGGGTCTTTTATTTTGAATAATCAAAAATATGCAGAGTTAGATATCTTTAGAAAGGATATCAGAGAAAAGTTTACGTCTAAATTTGACAATCAAAAAATTGTCCTTCAAAAAGCAAAGGGATAATAAATGAATCCTCTTCAATCCAATTTCAGAAATAGTTAATCACCTAATGCATAAAAAAATTCATAATAATAATCTCCAATAAAAATAACATAATACTCTAAGCATTCTCCTGGTAGATTATCTTTTCAAAGATCTAATATTAATATAGGTAATGTTAATTCTAGGTATATAAAATGAATTAATATATTTAAGTTTGAATATACCAAAAAAAACTCTTAATGAAATAGTGGCTATAGAAAAAATATAAGATTTAGCAAGAGCTTTAAAAGGATAAAGCTATTCATCTACAGATTAATATATGTAAGAATTAAGAAAATTATCTAAAATGATTCTAAATGAATGAGTCGAATTTAGTAATGATTATAATGATTATTTACATTTATAAAATATTTTTCATCTCTTTTCTTTAATTTTCCTTACCAATTTTTTTATGAATCACACTCTTATTTTTTTAATCCCAAAACTAATTATACTTATTTATTGTAATTTCTTATAGCTTTAACCAATTTTAACAAATGATAAAGATTCTCATTCAGAAATATTAAGAATTTAACCAAAACTTTCAAAAACAGAATTCATCCCGTTAAATTTTTTATTATAATTTTAATTTAAAAAAATTACTTGAATTAAGAGAGTATACATTAGAACCTAAGTCTTAAAGCTTTACATTTTATTTACAATTCAAAGAGGGTATTTGATGATGACAATTAGCAATAGTAAAATCGATAGGTACAACTTAATTAGAATGAATATTCTGTTAGATCCTAGAAAATGGGCAGCAATTTATTAATGGTATAAATGTAGAATATAAACTAAAAGAATAAAATATTTACTTTTAATAAATAAATTATTGTATTTATTTTTTAAAGTTTGTATTACTGCAGTAAGAATTAAAATTTGGTTTAATAAGATATATGTATGATAAAATGATCTCTCTTTTTTATTCATCATTATAAATATTAATATATATAAAGAAGATGATTGACATATCCAACTATCAATCTAAAAATGTTTGCAAAACCTTGATAAAAAAAGGATGCTTTGATAAAATAAAGTGAATGGTGCAAAGAATAATTTTTTGTAAATGAATTATAATTAATTTAATTAATTAATTTTTATTAAACTCTCAAGATTTATATTAAATTGAAAGGAAATCTTTTTTTTTGTATGTAAATTCTAAAGAAGAAGATTCATCAAATTAATTTTATGATATTCCAATATATAATATAAATTTTTTTATTTAGCATAACTAATTCCTTATATTTATTTTCTTTTAAATTACAAAAAATCAACATTAATAGATTTACTTAATAATCATTAGAATATATATATAAACTAATATGTATTTATAATAAGAAACATTTTTAATCTCTTAAATATTTTTTTCTAGTCAAAGGCAACTATCCACCTTCTGATAAATTCCTAGTTTCTTATCAAATACATTATATTCAATTAATTACAAAGTCAATTAATAGATTATGAAATTTTACAATAAATATACTATATATATCAAATAGAAATTGTATATAATTTATTTTAAGATAATATTTAATTCATGTGAAATTATTTTAATTAGATGCATAATAGTATAATTTTTTGGAAATTTTTTTAGTTTTTAAAACAACTCCAAGAGAAATTAAGAAACAAATTAAATAGATATGTAGAAATGAGAAATAAGGTAGAATTAGTATTTCCCCCCGAATGAAATTTGAAAATAACATTTTTGATAATCATGAATCTAATGTCATCCTTTTTCATAATAGATGATATTAAACATTATTATTTAGAGAGCACTATTTAAATACAATATTTTAAGGGTATTTTATTAATTTTATTGAAGTATACATACGCTGAGTCTTTCCTTAATTATTAATTTATTTTAGAGTTTTTATATGTGATTAAGTTAATTTTTTAGATTTTAGTACATATTTTTTTATAAATAATTTCTTCTCAAAATATGAGGAATATGAAATTTTGTTTAATATTTAGTTGGTTCTAACTTGTAGAGTGTTGAAGCAAAAGCCTAAATACATTTGAAATTATATATAGGGAAATATAATTTATATTAAAATTAAAACTTATGGGTTCAAGTTGTTGCTAAGCTTAAAGTGAAGATAAATTTGAACTATAAGAACAATAAAATATAAGATTCAAGAAGAAAGAATCAATTTTAAATAAAAATAGTGGTTAAAGCAGTACAAATTAAAATAAGGAAAATGAGAGAATACAATCTTTCAATAATTATGGATCTTTAATGATAGATGATACTGTAAAAGAGTATAATCGAATAGCTGCAAGTAGCTTAGAAATTTAGGAACTAACAGGAGATATGGATAGAGTCGATTCAATTCAATTAACTGAAAATGCTGTTAAAGATAAACCTGTATTGAGGGATTCATGTGAAATCATTTCACTTGGATCTAAAAAGACTATATTGAAAAAGGAAACAAAATATAGTTTATTTCGCAATAAGGCTAATTTTAATCAGAATTAAAAGAAGGTTAGATTTGATGAAGTGTGAAATTAATTGTATTTTAAATAGTTATACTAAACATGTAAATGGTTATAGATTGACTTTATAAATTAAGTTAACAAAAACTTTACAAATTTATATGAATGTATTCAAAACCAAAAATAGTAGATTAAGATAACAGCTATTAAACTGTTGATAGATATTGTTTTTGTTTTTATTCCAGTTATTCATTTGGGTATAATTGAAAAATCTGATTTAATGTCACATATTTAATTCATTCAAACATTTTTATATATTTTTTATAATAGAAACTTTTAATTATATAAGAATGTCAAAAATATAGTGACGAATTAATATAAATAATTAACCTTTAAAATTTCAATTTATTTTACTAGTTTATATGATCATTTATATATATTATATATATATCAATATAGAATTTTTAATCTTATTAAAATAATGATATATATATAAAATAGAATACTAATTGTTTATGTCATATTAATAATACTCATTTATCTGTTAAATTTCTAAAAGCTGATTTAATTTCATCAACAAATTTAGTGAAATAATTCATTAATTCTTATTTTGGTTATTTTGGATCCTAAAATATATATAATAAACATTTTTACCTCAAATTTCATTTATGATAATTTGACAAATTATGGTTTAGTTTAATTCAATATGATATTCCAAGTAATTTTGGCATCTCCTGAAGATTCAAGGATAGCCTTTTTACCACATTCGAAAAAGGAAACTATACATCTCATCATACCAATTGTTTTGTAAAGTGGACAATTATAATCATATTTACTAAAGGCATCTTATTGTAAGAAATCTTCTCTTATAATTTTGGCAATCTATTATAATATACGTTTAAAATTACTTCCAAAGATAATTTTTAATCTTCTGAAAGTGAGTCTCTTCCTACTAATTACACAATTTCATTCAATTCAGATTCTTCATGTAAAATTTATTTGAACATAACTCTTAAATGAGTAAACTCAGGATCAAAAGAATTAAAATATGGTTCTAATATTTTTTCATAATTTGAATTTGAAATAGTCCAATTTACAGATGGAAAATGTTTTCTTTAAGCTAATTTCTTATCTAATCCCCAAAAGACTTAAACAATTGTGAGAGTTGCAGTAGTAACAGGATCTGTGAAATCCTAAAGATAATAAAATATTATAAATTACTCCTCCTGGAGGTGAAACAGCACCAACAATAGTAATAGATCCTTCTCTATCAGGTGAACCTCTGCATCTAACTCTTCCAGCTCTTTCATAGAATTGAGCTAATTTTGATGCCAAATAAGCAGGATAACCTTAATCTGCAGGCATTTCTGCCAATCTACCAGAGATTTCTCTCAAGGCTTCTGCCCATCTTGATGTAGAATCAGCCATCATAGATACATTAAAACCCATATCTCTAAAATATTCAGCTAATGTAATTCCAGTATAAATAGAAGCTTCTCTAGCAGCGACTGGCATATTAGAAGTATTAGCAACCAAACAAGTACGTTACATAATGTTTTCTTCTTTACCTTTCATTTAAATAGTTAATTCTGGAAATTCACTTAACACTTCAGCCATCTCATTTCCTCTTTCTCCACATCCAACGTAAATGATACATTCAGAATTTGAATATTTAGAGAGTGCTTAAGAAATACAAGTTTTGCCACATCCAAAAGCTCCTGGAATACAGCAAGTACCTCCTAAAACTGATGGATAGAGTGCATCAAGAACTCTTTATCCAGTAAGGAGTGGTGTATTACCTTACAATTTCTCAATAATAGGTCTAGGTTATCTGACAGGCCAGAAATGACTCATTCCATATTAATGTTTCTTTCCATCCAATTCTACTTCAATAACTTTATCTTTTAATGTATAATTGCCCTCAGGTGCAATATAAGTGACTCTACCTTACACTCTAGGTGCTGTCAAGATCTTATGTTCATCAAAAAGGTTGTTTTCAAAGACTGATCCATAGATATCACCTCCTGAAATCATTGAACCTACTTTAATTAATGAAGATGGTTTGAATTCCCAAACTCTATCTTGATCCAAAGCTGGAATATCAACACCTCTTGGCACAAAAATGGAAGCTGATTAATCTGCAATGACTTATAATGGTCTTTGAATTCCATCAAAAATTTATGTTAAAATACCTAGATATTTATTTAATAAATACCTGGTCCTAATTCAACTGATAAAGGGGATTTTGTTCTCATCACAGGATCACCCACAGTCAAACCAGCTAATCATATTTACTTATGAGAAGTACATGTATCTTCATAACATTGAATTGATGCATTATCTCCTTCTAATTTAATGATTTCACCAACAAGCTTATCCCAACCTACTTTCACTAACTCAAACATCTTAGCACCAGCCATCTTCTCTGCAACAACCACTATTAAATTAAAGAAAACAATTTACATGGACCAGCTACTTTGAACACTCTACCAAAGCTGCTTTCCTTCTCCTATAACTCTTCCAATTGTGTCTTACGTTATTTATTCATATCTTTTAATAAAATTTATATAAATGATCATCACAATTCTGAAAATAAAGCAAGAAATTAATTTATTCTCTAATTTTTATTGTTTAATATATTCGCTTCTCATTTTCTTAAATTATAATGTGAGATTTCTAATTTTTTATAATTTATTATATATAACAACTTCAAATTAAATCATTATTATAATCATCATGTCCATATACTATATATATATAAATAATTCATTTTAAAAAGAACTTTCAATAAATTTTATAATTACTTACAACTCTTTTCTAAAAAAATATGTGTTATATAATTAAAATGAAAAAGTACATCTTTTAACTTTAAATATGATTTAAATTATACTATATCTCATTAATTCTATTTTTTAATGAACTAAAAATCCAATAGTTGATTACTTAATGTATTAATATTAATGATATTTAATGAAATTTGAATTTGGAATAGTAGTTAACATTGTATGATACTCTACAACAAATGCGATCTTAGATTAAAATTTCAATTATATTTTTATTTGATTGCCATAAAAAAATAAATATTAATTAAAAATGCAGAATTTCATATCCAGACCTTAAAAAATTAATACCAATGAATTTGGACATCGTAGAGAAGATAGCTTCGACTATAATGAATTTAAGAATTTGGCTTCCAGTTTAATCACAAGTTAGCATTAAAAAGAATGGAATCATCAGCCCAGACTTACATAAATACTTCTAAATTAGAGTTTAACTGTAATGTTTGATGGGGTAATAATTAAAGAATAATGCACTTTATATCCAAATGTTCTTAAAATAGATAATCATTACATTCAACTTTCATAATATTAGATAAAGAGGAAATAATTGATTCACAATAATAAAAAATGTTATCTTCTTCTACTTGGAAATGATATTATGTTATTCTTTAGTAATTTTGATATCCAAAAACATTGGTATAATTAGATTAAGCAATTTTGCATAATGAAAAACTTATTAATCAAATATCGGTTATAAGAATAATTATTCTAAGATTTCTACTCTATCATTAAAAAGAAAGTAAGAAAAATGTAAATATCCAAAGAATCGATAATAGTTTTCTGCCTATATAATAAACAAACAATAACCATACCTTGAAGAAACTTTTGGATTATTACATGAGAGCAAAAATCATTCTATTCTCAAAATCAGGAGGATTTATGAAGATACCAATAATTATGTCATGATCACTGAAAGGTTTGAGGGAGAACCAGTCTTTAATTTCTTACTTGAGAATATATAATTCATGGAAGTATAAGTAGCAACAGTATGATCGAATACATATAGTTTAGTTGATTTACTAGATCTTACTATTATTACGATATTTGAATGAACATTAGGCATATCATGGGAATATCAATGCATTAAACATATTAATCAATAGAGAAAGTCAATCTTTAGAAATTGCAGTAATTGGATTTATATACAATGTAAATGGATAAATATAATTGATAGGCATTTAAATAAGGAGATGATATAAGTGAATATTTAAAATGGGTCAATCTAAATAAATATTATTGGAGTGGTTTTGAAGAAAATTAAATACCAGGAATACATTCTGATTTATATCAATTAGGAGTTCTACTTTATATTATTACATTTTATACCAAAATAAATCAAGATTTGAAAGTATGCACATTAATAATAATAGAGGAAAAGTGACCCTTATAAATTGTTTTAAAAGTACATGAAGGAATTAGTAATAAAATATGAATTAATAGATGAAACCATAGAAGTCTTAACATGTTTAATATTAATATTTTATTTAGAGATGAAAAGTCCAGATTCATAATATGTACATGTTTTTTCATCAAGTCAATTAGATTTAATCAAAAAATTATTATCTAATTGTTCTTTGTCAGATGCTTTAACACATTAATGGTTTGTTAATGCTAAATAAAAAGCTAAACCTCATAATTAACGTTAAGGATTACCAACTCTAAAAACTATAATAGAAATAAAAGAAGCTAGTGATGGTGAAGCAAGTAAATCATAAACTAAAAGATTCAGTATATAAAGTGACATGTATGATTCAAGTAAGAATAAATATGATATTTAAGTGGATGAATGTCCAACTGTCTCATATTTGATGCGAAACATATTAGATTATGAAAAGGCGCCATGTAAAACTCATCATTCCTGATTATATTTAATTAAAATAAATATGTTACATGCAAAACCAAAGACTTAAACACAATAAGTACTTTTCTAGGATTTAAAGAGTAAGAAATCTTCAACATCTTTCAATCCTATTAACACACTTTTTGGAAATCAATAAACTGTTCATCTCCCAAATAATTTATGTATATATTCATAATACTCTTAGCAATTCCATTATATAGAGGACATTTTGTTAATTTTCATCATGAACAGATAAGAATTAATGATAATTATTCTTTAAGTGGCATTTAAGATGGCTTTCTTTACTTTGTGGTGAATTAAAAAACAATGCTATTCTATTTCTATTCCCCATTGTAAGATGATCTAAATTACTATTACAATACTGTAAATATTTCTAATTAATTGTAGGATGATAAGAAGTACAAATTTCCATTCAGATTCAAAGAACAATAGATTAATAATCTAGAGTATATTACAGCCGTTGGATTTTAATAAGTAGATGATATATGGACTATGGCAATAGCCTCAGAATTCTATATATATTTATATACTTTTACAGCAGATTTAGATAATTTTTAATTGCTAAAATAAGGGTTCAATGTTAATGGAGAAATAATAAATTAAATCATGTTTTATTAAGATAATTTAATCTATGGAGGTAGTTCAGGTACTCTTACATGTAAATCTATTGATACAGCTTAAAATTATACTATTTAATTGAAAGAAAAAATAAAAAGATAATTCAATCGAATTTTCAAAGATTTAACTCCTTGGTCATCATAATAAGGATTAATTTAATTGGAATTACAAGAAGAATTTAATATTTGTTATGGTTTATTTGAAAAATTAGATAAAAATGAGAATGTTGAAGATACATTTATTACTATATATGATATTGGATTACAAGGAGAACTTTTTTAGGAAATAATTACAATTAAATAATCTTATTTATATAATTCTAATTTAGAATTCAAAAATTAATTTGATTATCATAATTTATAATTTTATCATGCTTTTTTTGAAAGACAATATTAAACTAATAAAATTGTATTAAATATTACAACTAAAGACTAATTACAACTACATTTATTATTTGAATTATAAGATAGAACAATTAATGAAATAAATCAATTTAAATAAAGAAGTTCAAATTCAAATATTACTTAATAATAATATATTAAATTGAAAGCAGAATTCTAAATAATCTAAATCAAAAATCCTTATATGAAAATAGATACAATAATTCCATATGGAGTATGTTTAGATGAGAGTAGAATATAATATAAATAAAAAGAGATGTTAACAATTTAACAAAGTTAAATTTTGAAATCAGTCTATAAAGAAGAATAATTATCATTGTTTCATTTAGATAATTATATTATTGCATAATTTCTTGATATGGCTCATATTTAATATTTAAGAAATTTAGAACAATAAATAACTAAATATAATTCATATAATTAGATCTAATATTCTATATATAGAGATACATCAAAAGAAGCAATAGAAAAAATTGACCTTCATTGTTAAAATAGTCATGACATTCCAAAAAATATTTATAATATAGGTAAAATGACTGTCAATAGATTATTCAATCATTTTGATATTAATGAATCTTAACTATATAATCTTCCTGAACATTATATTTGTATTGCTGATCATACAGTTGAATTCATTGTTAGAATGAGACCAATAGATTGTTTCTTTACAGCTATCAAAGTAACACATTATGATTTCATTGATTAAGTGGATGTAGATTTTCCACTTGAAAAATTGGTTAGAGCATTTGGAATTGAGGAAAGTTGTGCTTAAATCTTATAAATCATAATTCAAGAAGAATAGAATTTTTATATTAATGTTGAACTTTAACATTAATATTAATTAGATTTATAGAAAGCATATTAAAGAATACATTATTCAGAAAATATACAAAAGTTTTTTGATGATAATGAAAAGATTCCAAATTGGGTTACTGGTTAAGTATATGTACGAAAAGGAATTATTATCAAAGAGAAAGCACTCAAAGCATATTTTGCTTTAATTAAACGTTCATTAATTAATGAAGATAGAAATTAAAAATCTAAAAAAGTATCAAGTACTACATCTTTAATTTGGAAAATACTTGCTCCACTTACAACAAAGAAATTCATTAATGAAAAAGTGTATAATTTAGAATGTAATAAACCTATTGAAAGTTATTCAATTTAATAATTACAAACTGTATTTAAATAGATTGAAAAATTAATTAAATTATTTGAAAATGAACCTAATTATTTTTAATAAATTAAAAGTTAAAGAAATGATTTATAAGTTGAAGAATAAAATTAATTTCAAAATTATAAAAATGGATTTAGTAAATACATTTATGAAACTTTTGAATAAAGTACTAGATTAGATATTTCAAGAAGTACCAATTATTCAGATTAATCATTAGCTGTTACAGTTAATGTTGATGTAGAATATGTAAAATAATTATATCTATTTCTAGAATTAAATGAAAGTACTCTATTCTTTTTGTAAGAAAATCAAATAATTATTATAATTTTTGATTTATTTCTTTGGTGAATTATAAGGAATCAGAAATATAATAAACAGTTATTTAAATAAACCTTAATTATTTGAATTATCAATACAAAGTGTCCTTTGTGGTGAAACTATAGGTAATTTAACATTAAAATAATTAATGATACATATTATAAAAAGTGATAAAACTAAATTTAGAGAAACTGCTTAATATATGAATCATCATTTTCCTGATTTCTTTACTATTGCAGATTTCAAAATCAGCTTAGTCTAAAATCTATTTGATGAAATTCTAACATTTGCTGCACAAAAAAGTAAATATATTATACTACTTAATAGATTTGATTAAACTTAATCCAAATGAATAAATTAATGAGAAAATTAAGAGAATATTAAAATTATCCAAAACTCCTTAAATTACTATTGATAAAGTACTTGATAAACGAGAAATCTTTCTATATTATAAGGATTTATAACCAGAATTATAAGACTAATTATTAGAAGCATTGAAATTAATAGAAGAAGTAGCTATACTCATTGAACATTCTTATTTAACATAATGCTTTAAAAATTATATGTATCCTTTTGCTACTTTTAAATTTTATGTATAATATTTAGCATAAAAATGTTAATAATAAGAAAAAGATTAATCTAGTGATGAATATTGTAATTGCATAATGGATTTAATTGATTAATTTAATAATCTAATTAAATACTATTTAAATCCTCCAAAAGGATTAACTAAAGCATAAACTAAAGAAATTCTAATTGAATCACTTCAATTATTAAATTAATTTTAATTAATTAAACCAACTGAAGCTATAGCTAATAATATATTAAAACATTAGCTAAAAGAATTTATTTAATATATTGATTATAATTAAGAAATGGATTTATAATGTAGTAATGATTTAGAGAAATTATAAATGTAAAAGAAATAATTTTTAGCAAAAGCTGTTAAAGGTAATCATGAAGTATATCCATAATTGATATAAATCTTGTTAAAATTAGCACAATTTTCATTAACTTAATGTCCAGAAATGAATTTAGAGGATATTCAAATTAAATTACCTATAAAAAAGAGATTAAGATATGTTAACAAGGCATAAGAATTCATTAGAACCTTCTAAAAGAATGCTTAAGGTATTGATATTAATGAAATTGAAAAATAAGCATAACATTTAAGTAAATAATTATTTTTGTAAGATATTATGTATGATTTTGTATTATCTAATGAAGGTGAAAATCAAAGTATATATATATATTTATAATTAATTTAGGTTATCATACAGAAAAGAGGAAAATTCTTATAGAAATTTTGGATTGCAAAATTATTCTATAATTCTTTGAAGATAATAATATTTATTTTGGTTAATTATTATGTTTGGATTACTTGGAATATTCTGAAGGAATATAATTATGCACTAATTAGAATGTTGAATAGCTATGGATCAATTTTATTTTTAGTGCTTATGAAGAATCTTATGAATGGCCAACTGATGTATTTAAACGATAAGTATTTATATAATATTAGAAATTTTAGATGAAATTACTTTTTGAAAATTTAATTAATATTTAGAAATACATTCAATTATAGAAAATGACTGAAACTATTGAATTAATTAATACTAAAGTATGTCAAGAATAATAAGTTACTCAATTGACTACTTGGTTATTTTTTGAAATTTTATTGAGTCATGATATAAAAGAAATTGATTTGGTTAGGATATATGTTACACATTATAAGGATCATATTCTAATTTTAAATAATCCTCTTTATTAGAAATTACAAATAGAACAAATTCACACTTATAAATTATAATTAATATAATAGATTTTAATTTTATTTGATGCACTCAAAAAACTTAAGTAAGATTAATAATAAACCAGTTAATTAATTAATCAATTTAGAAATGCTTTTGAAGTATTTAATATATTAATAATATTTATAGAATGATTATAGAAACTTTAGGGATGATGAATTATATGATGAAAAGGTTATAGAATAGATTAAAATAAGAATTGATTCATTATGATTAATATTATTGTTTTTTTTAAGCTCAATTTTAGTGTGGCAATTTATTGTTAATAAATTATTATTATTTAAATTCAAATGTAATAAGAATAGATACCGCAATAATAATAGAATGTCACTCCCAAAAAGTATTAATTAACAACACCAACTAAAGACAAAAAGTAAAATAAAACTAATTAATCTACTACTATACAATCACCTAAAAATAACGATTTTTATTCTCCAAAAAATGTTAATCCTTGGAAAACACCTAAATCTTTATTAAAAAGCAATCATAAATAAAACACTCCTGATCATTGTATTCAAGCATCTCCATATAGTGATAGATATATACCATTAAATGTTTCAAGAAATTTATTTAATAAACAAATATAGCCATTTGAAATTGAAGAAGAGAATTAATATGAAGAACTATTAAGTGAAAATGTCTTAGAAATTGATGAAAATAAACATGTAAGTATTTTGAATTTCAATAAATAAAAACACGACAAAGTTCAATCTTCTAAATAATTAGAAACACCTAAAAGAAAAATAGATACTCTACCAATAAAAGTATTAGATGCACCTGGATTAGAAGATGATTTCTATTAAGACACACTTCATTGGGGAAAAAATAATCTTATTGCAGTTGGTTTATAAAGATGTGTGTATTTATATAATGTTGACAATTCAAAAGTATTTTAATTAGCAGAACCAATAAATAATAATGAATTATCTGCATATTATACATCTTTATAATGGAATACAAATGGATAATTATTAGCAATTGGATGTTGTGATGGTTCTTTAAAACTCTGGGATTATAATAAAAATTCATTTAATGGTTCTATGAATCTATCTAATAAAAGAATTAGTACTATTAGTTGGGCTAATCCAAATATATTTGCTTATGGTAGTAAAGATAAAACAATCAGTATATGTGATGTTAGAGTTCCAAATTATTAAATATTTTAATTATTAGGACACACTTAAGAAGTATGTGGTGTCACTTTTGATGGAAATGAATTATAATTAGCATCAGGTGGTAATGATAATAAAGTATTTGTTTGGTAAATGAGAGGAGGTAATAGTAATAATAATAATAATAATTAATATATTTCATGGGAAATTAAATCTCATAAAGCTGCTATAAGAGCTTTAGCTTGGAATCCAAATTCATGTGGTATATTAGCTACTGGAGGTGGAAATTAAGATAAAACAATTAAAATTCATAGTTCATTAACAAATTAATAAATTACTAGTATAAATTGTGATTCACAGGTTTGTAAATTAAGATTTTCAAAAATTGTTAATGAATTAGTTTCTACACATGGTTATGAAAAGAATTTAGTATGTTTATGGTAATATCCTACAATGAAAAGAGTTAATTAATTAGAAGGTCATTCTGAAAGAGTTCTTTATTTGTCAGCAAGTCCAGGTATTAAATTTTTATAATTATTTATAGATGAATCAACTATTCTGACAGGATCTGGAGATGAAACACTTAAATTTTGGAAAATATTTCCTAGTTAAGTTTCAAATAATATATCCTCACTATTTTCCATGTGTGAAATTAGATGATTTAATTAATATATATATATATATATAAGATATCTTCTAAATTTACTTAATCTTTGAATACAAATAATAATTAATTATTTATATGAGTGAAGAATAAATTGAATAACCAAATGATGATAATCAAGAATAATAAAATGATTAAGAGCCTTCACCAGAATAGAATGAAGTTTAAGACAGAGATCCTGAATAACCATAAGAAGAAGAGCCTGAAAAGCCTCCTGAAGAAGATGAAGAAACTAGACGGTTACGATTAGAGAGAGAAGAATAAGAAAGAAAAGAGAGGGAAGAAAGAGAGGAACAGGAAAGAAAAGAAAGAGAAGAAAGAGCAGAATAAGAAAGAATTGCTAGAGAAGAATATGAAGCTAAATTGAAAGAAGACACTGCAAAATTTAATGAATTAGTTTTATAAGGAATTTCAGGATTGAATAAAACTCAAACTGTTTATGCATATGTGAAATTAAATCTTGCAGAAAAAGACATTGAGAGATTATTTTAGATTAATCATTTGAATCTAAGATATATTGATATTTCATAAAATAGAATTGTAGATATTACTAATTTATTACCTTTAAAGTATATATAATTATTTTATCTTTTTAGATATTTAGTTTCATTAAATGCTTCAAAAAATGAGATTAATACACTTTCATATTTTTAAGATCCTGAAGCATTTCCATATTTGTAATATTTAAATCTCTCTACAAATAAAATTAAATCTCTTGTAACACTATCATTAAAGAGATTGAGAAGATTAAATTTAATAGAAAATGAAATTACTATTGCAAATGAATTTGAAGGACATTAAAATATTGAAATTCTTGAATTAGGTAAAAATAAATTAAAATTAACAGATGGATTAGCAAATATGCCATAATTAAAAGTATTTTATTTATTTATAATCTTTATAGGAACTTTATTTATAAGGAAATGAACTTAAAGATTTTAGATCATTAAATAATCTACCATCTTTATTAAAATTAAATTTAAGAGCAAATAAAATTACAAAAATTAAAACTCCTGTTATTGAATTTCCATAATTATATTATCTTAATCTCAGAGAGAATTAATTATCTAAATTTGATGATTTTAAGAAAATTGCCAAAATTAGAACTATAACAACTCTTAATATGTTAGCTAATCCAATAGTAGATGAAATGGGTGCAGATAATTTTAAATAAGAAATTTTAATGTTTTATTTTCATTTGGTTAGAATAAATAAAGTAGATATTACAAAAGAAGATTATGATGAAGCTGCGAGAGTATTATAAGAAAGAAGAGATGAAGAAGAAAGAAAAAGAATTGAAGAAGAATAAGCAAGAGAAGAAGCAAGATTAGCAGAAGAAGCTAGATTAGCAGAAGAAGCAAAATTAGCAGAAGAGGCACGTTAAGCAGAAGGAGTAAAAGAAGGAGAGGGAGCTAATGAAGTTGCTGAATGAAATATGGATTGAATTCATCAATTATCATTAATCTTTTTACATCATTTAATAACATATCAATTAATTTCTTATCCTTATTTATAATAAAAGAAATCAAATAAGATTGTAATTAATCTTGTATGAATATTTCCATATAAATTTTATTATGTTAATTTTAGAGATTTTTTCATTTAATTATTATTATGATATTTTACATCTGTTTATTTTTCTCATTTTATTCATAAAATTTATCATTTAGTAATGGGATTAATTTGATGATAATTTTATTAATTATAAAAAAATAAACGCAAAATCCATTGTTAGCGTGGTATTCAAATTATATTGTTCAATCACATATGTTAATATTAACCTAAAAATGTTGTATTCTTAATAACCTTATTACTACTATCCATTCTATTAGCCTTAAGTTGTTTGTCCAGTCTATTATTTTCCAATCTAGACTTTAAATCAATAAGAACATCAAATTGAGCCTATATTGACTTCATTACCAGACAATCAACCTACTAATAGTTAATAATTGAATTATGATACAGAAGAATTAGAAATAGAAAAGGGTGAAAAGAGTATAGAAATTAAAAAGAATTCTAAGAAAGAAATAGTAATCAAGAAAAAGAAAGCATCAACAAATACTAAAATTCATGAAGTATTGGATTCAACTAATCTCCATAAAAATTTCACTAAAGCTCTAATTGCCTACACCTTAAGATAACAATTCATTATATATAAATTGTTGGGAGAAACTAAAGGATAAGAATTTCTTGATTTGATGCAAACTGTCAAAAATAAACTCTGTAACCTCACTCACATACTATAATTCACTAAAAATGATGAATTCTTAAAGGCTTTTCGAACTTTAGGGTATATATTTTACATAAAATTTAGGTTTATGTTTCTTAGAAAAGAGGCTGTTCCATACATTTATACTTCCAAAATTTAACAAAAAACAAGCCATTTGAAGCATAAAATCATCATCAAGAAAACTCTTTTAAAGATTTGAAGCTTATTAAACTTTTTACACATCTCAACTATAATATTACCATATAATTAAAAAACATTAAATTTGGTTTCATATAAACTAAATCACTCAAATTTATTATTCTAAATAATCATAATCATGAAGAATACATTTGATTGATTAATACAATTTTGTGTTAATCATTCAAATAGTTCATGTAGTTTGATCACTCTAGATAATTATCTAATAATTCTAAATAATAAGCATCATTTGTCTTAATCTAAATAATTCTAAATATTTGACAATAATTGTTTTAATTATCTAATATATATTCAATAATCTAAAACATTTGACAAATCTAATAAATCTTCTCTATGAAAATTAGAATACTCTTGAATTATGTCTAATAATTTGAAAATTTCATTCTTTTCTCAAATATATATTGTTAATAATTGATATATCCTTAAATTCTTTTCTTCTAGAACTAATTAATATTGTCAATAGGATTATTAAATCAATTTAAAATGTTTAAATTGTAAGAACAGCTTGAATAGAAGTTTCACTAAATAAATCTAAGCCAAACAATCTAATTTATCAATTTTTGAATTGATTACATTTTCTCTTCTTAATATTCTAATTGATTTAAAATAACAAGGCATTAGACATTATTTAAATATTATTGAAATATTGATCCTATCTATCTAATTCTAGCAAAGCAAGTAATTTCTTTGAATTCTTTTAACATATTTATGGTTGTTATGGTAAATTCTTATTCTTAAACATAATGTCAGTTAATAAAATGAATGAACTTTATATTTTTCGTTTATTACAAAATCCTCACTTTTGTAATGCGAATCTTTATTTTTTATTCTTAAATTACTAATTGTATTAATTTTCTGTAATTTTATATTAGCAATCTAATTCTCTATTTAAAAAATAGCCTTAGACATATACTTTGGATATAATTTCATATATTCAAATTGACATTCATATTTGGAATTTAAATAATATAATTCTATTAAGCCTCTAAAAAATAGGCTTAATAGTATATAATTATAGCTTGAACTTTTTTAATATAAAATTCATATTTATTTTAATATTTATTCTTAAATTTCTAATTTTTTATTTATTCCTTTTGAACAATAAATTATTTTTTGTGTAAATTACTCCTACTTAAAATCTAAAAAATGTTTCTAAAAATTATATATTACTTGAATAAAAAGATTTAATCTCAAAAACAAATGAATTTTTTCTTTATAAATTAAGGATCAAAGTTTTATAGTGTAAATAGAGAATTATATAAGTTCCTAAATAATCTAAATACTGTCTTTTATTTACATATCAAATATTTATACCCTCAATCAAATTCATTTTTACATTTCATTATTATCTAATTTCTATGCCAAACTAAAGAACTATATAATATAGCAAAATATGAAAAAAATTTAGGAAGATTTCAATTTTGATTATTAATCAGTCATGTTATCTAATTTATTAAATGAAATACACAATGCAATAAGGCAGTTTCTTAATTTAACATATTTATTCAATTTTCTTTTAAATTTTTTGATAGTCTAATAAATAAAATAAAAGGTTCAAAACAAAGATTCTTTAGAAATGAAACTACTTAAATTTATTTCTACACTTTTTCAATAGTAATTCTATATAAATTACATTAGTTTATCTATCTGATTGAAATATTCAATGACTAGAAAAATATAAATAAAAATAAAAAATATCAAATATCTTAAAGATTTTCGAAACTATTAGATAATTAACTGCTTCTGTTTTCACTTTAATCATTGTTGTTTGAGAAAAAGGTTTTAGTTTTTTAGTAATCTAAGTGTACCCTTTCTAATGAAGTCAATCTCTTTCTCATTTGATAACTATTGAACCAGTACACAAGACTATTCAAGAATCCTTACAAGAAACTAACTCCATATTATACGAGTCTTATGTATTAATAAGGTCCAGTTTGATGAATAAAGTAGTCTTGTTGTATTTATTCAATCCAATTATTATTGAATACAAATATTAAAAACACTATTTGAGATGGCAACCAACAAATAAATAATGCCAATGGATAGAGTATTAAATTACGAGCAAACATCAATTAAATGTTTATTTGTTTATTTAATAGTTCGTATTAACTCTTTATTCTTTTTGTCTTAAAATATGTTCTCAATAAGAAATAGACAGATATTAATACTGAGGATAGTAATGGTATGTAGAATAAAGTAAGATTTAGATATAAACTTAAGCTTCTATTCTTTTCAATTGTTTTAGTTTCATCATTTGAACTAATTGAACAAGTAGCAGGTACTTTTGCAGGTGTAGGTGCATATGATTAAAAAAACAATGGAATTGTAGCCATTAATAAAGGAACAGCAAAACCTATATATAAGTATTTGAGAGCTACCTATTCCAATTATCAATTTTTCATATCTTTCAAAATAAATCAATTCCCTTTATCCTCTTGTGATAGAGACATAAAGGAAATATGATATTGATGTACTCCAAACAAAGGCACAAATAGTTGCAAATTAAGTTAAGGCTCCTTGGATAGTGCATCTAAATAATATAGATTAACTCACCTAGTGACATCATAACCATCAAAAGTTGGCTCAACATATAAGAGCAATCCGAAAGCATAAAAACAATCTGATATTGAGAGACATGCAACGATTCTTTAGGCAAATACTTTAAGGTTATCAAAAAAGAATAAATGAGTTAACATTAGTGTAGATCCTCCTATAGATAGAGAAATGCATACATAAAATATTATTATCATTAAAATAATGTATAATAATGCAAGTCCAATAAGACATTAGATAATATAAGGACCTCACAATAAATCAGTATCTCCAGTGTCCAGATTTCAAGTAATGGGTAATATTCAACCATCTCTTGGGATGAAAACAATTCTGAAACCTAAAATATATGAAGTAGTTGAAGTGCCTCTTAATCATTATACTTCAGTACCAAGTTTCTAGACACCTCAATAATAATAATATGATTAAGAGTTTTAAAGGAAGATAAAATAAGTGGAATAAGAATCTTTTATATGCAGACAGAAAATTGAATAAGATTAAAGAAATGATTAATTTTAACAGCTCAATGAAAAAATTAGATAACAATAATAAGAAATAGAAAGACTTAAGTCAGTTAATGACCCAAACCTTAGATTGTTAAAAGAATAATGCGATTATTATTTTAATCAATCTTAATAGGCAGAGTTGGAAAAAAATGTAATAATATATTTTAATTTATGTATAGGAATTGATACTAAGACTCAAATAAAACGAGTAGCAAATGTAAAAGATATAACAATAATAAATTCATATTAATGAGAAGGATGTTAAATATAATCAATTATTTAATGAACATGAGTAATTAAAATAGAAGTATTAAAATATGGAAAATTAATTATAATAATAAATAGATAAATAGAAAGCAGAATTTGATAGAATTCACAATTAGAATTTCACATAAATTAAATAAAAGTATAAAAAAAGATCTTATTATTAAATAGTTCTGAATTGAGAAACAAATAATTTGATGATTAGATTTAAAAATTATAAGAGGAATTGAATGATGCAATTAGAGAAGTAGAAATTTGGAGATAAAAATATCATAAATAGGATCTCAATCAAATGAATTAAACAACACGTATTAATGAATTAGAATTAATTAATGTACATTAAAATAAAGAGATTGAAAGATTGCAATAATAAAATATTTTGAAATAATAAGAAAATGATTCACTTTAATAAAAAATTAATTATTTGGAATTTAATTATCAATAAATATCATCATCAGGATTAGATAGTGAAGTTAAAAGACTTAAAGAGTAATTAGAATCAAGATAAAGAGAGATAGATGATTTAAAAAGAAGGAATACTGAAATTGAATAGAATTTACTTAAATTAAAAGATCATGAAATATAAATTGAAATTATTAAATAGAGAGTAATAATAATATTATATTATTATAGAATTAATCATTTGAAAGTTAATTGTAAGAGTCTGATCGATTTAAACATTAATATACATCTTAACTTATTGAATTAGATGAGTTACGCAATAAATAAATTAGATTAGAAAATTGTGTTAATGATTTAAGAAGGAATGAATATAGATAATAAACTGAAATTAATAGATTGAATGATTTAATTAGAGTTAAAGATGAGGAAATTAATAAATTACAAATAGATTATAAAAAAAATATGACTTAAATGACATAATAGATGAATTCCTTTAGATCTTTATTGTATTCAATATATAACAATATTATAGTGAACGAGATATTGATACATTAAATATCAATAGAAATAGATTAGATATGGAGAATAAAGAATTAATTGATTAGAGAATATAATAATTAATTGAAGAATTGAATTTAATTAAAAAAGATAGAGAATAATTATAATTAGCTTGTTCATAATTAACATAGACTAAACTTGGATTAGAAAATAGAATCATTGTTTTATAAGGAGAAATAGATAGATTGAATTAATTAGTTAAAACACAAAACAATGAAATCAATCATCATTTACAAACATTAGAATTGTAAAATGATTAAATTGAGTAATTTAGATAATAAAATGAAATTTACAAAAAAGAAATGGATGTAAATCAATCTATTATATAAAATAGCTTTTTAAAACTAATTCAAATTCAAACTTCTTTTAATCAGGATCATAAAAAAAATTTGATTTCATTCCTAATCAACATTCAGATTCTAATTGGAATTGATGATTTAACATAATATCAACTGATTTAAAATAATATTTTTACTATAAATTTATATAACTATTATTATTATCATAATAATTATAATAACAATTATGAACATTTAATAAACCTAAACAAAAAAATAGAATATCAAAAGTATTATTTATATATGATCATGAGAATAAATATTTATAGATGATATAAATCTAAAAATTCATAGAAATCTCCAATATTCTATAAATATCACCAAAAGATTGACTAATTTTATAATTTATATTTAAAATAATTATACCTCTAAATAGTAGATCTAATTAAAATTAATTAATTGGATAATAAATACATTTAGGTTTGAATAAATGTAATTATTACATCTAATTTTATGGAATCCAAAGAATAAAATGAAATATTAGATAAATCATAAATATTACATGATGAAAATGTTTGGCTTTTTTAATATTAATAATTTATTTGTAATATAAGGAATTTATTAATGAAGGACAGATAATTCTTAAGAGGCTTGACATTACATTGCCTAACCTTTTGTTATTCAATCTATTTTTATACAATACGAAATGAAATTAGTAATCTGCTTTGCTTGATTATTGCAAGCATTATTTTAATAACTATGTTTATTTTGCGATATACAAATTTGTAGATCAAAGTTATTGGAACTATACTATGTATCTAAATAGACGTGATTTGTTTGATAATTATGAATATTGTAAATCTCAATGTTACCACCTATGCATAATTAATATTTTGTTAGTACATCTCAAAGGACTTATTTAGCTAAATAGGATCATCCTAATATTATTTAATTAGTCCTTAGTCTCTATATTATGGCACTCTTTTTATTGGAAGTATATTTTAACAAGTATATACTCATTTCCAAACCAATTTCACTGCTGAATCTCCACAATTAATTCTTTGTTTATTAATGTCAATTCTAGATAATATAACAATAAAGGAGAAGAAGAAAGTATAGAGAATTTAATAGATAACTACTGCACCAATGGATACTGGAACTGCAAACAAGATGGAGGGTTTGGCCAAAAGAGCACTATCAATTATAGATCAACCTTCAGATCAATCTAAAGATAGCTTTAGAAAAGGTTATGATGATTTTAGCAACATTTAATAATATTACATCAATCCTGAAATAATATATAATTCTTTGGAATACTTCTCTGAAGGTTTGATAATTTTAAATGTTTTAGATGAATAAACTCATACATATAAAATATCATATATGAATAATGCTACAAGAATACTTTTTGGAAAAGATTAAGATATAGACATTCTCTTTTTATTGGAAAACCTATCTTCTTTACATATATAAAGTTAAGATTATTTTGAAGATTTTAATTCAAGAAGAGATTCTATCCAGTAAAAATTAGGAAATCTCACAAATTCAAAACTATGTAAATCTCTATTTCCAATGAGAGACTTAATGTTTTGCTCTTTAAAATAACCTTTAAATGATATTTAATTACATGAAAAATATTAAACTATTAGTATGAAAGATTTATTAGAAAAGATTATTAAAACAAGAAGACCAGATTCTATAACTGTAAATACTCATGTAGATTTTTCCTTTTTAGATAATTAAAAAGCAATAAAGATATCTCAAAATCTTGCTTATTCAAGATAAGATACTGATAGATTGATGGAATTTAAACTCACTTTATAAAGAGAGAAAACCATTTTAATAGTATGTAGAGATGTAACTCATCGTTAAAAAATTAGATATTTAAGAGAATATGATATATAAAAATCAAAAATGCTTTCATTTGTTAGTCATGAATATAGACAACCTTTAGGGTGTATTATTTAAATGATTGAATGTGCTTTACAATAGAAAGTAATATAAAAAAATGTAGAGATTACTGAAGATTTACAAGCAGCTTTAGATAATTCAAAATATATGTTGAATTTATCTAATGATTTATTAGATTTAGCATAAATAAAGAATGGAAAATTCAAAATACAAAAAGTACCTTTTAATTTAGAAAAATTGATAGCTGATTCAATTAAAATGTTTGCTTTAAAAGCTAAAATAAAAGATTTGCAATTAGTTTGTGATTATAATCTATCTCTTCCTAAATTTATTGTCTCTGATAAAAATAGAATCAAACAAATAATTGTCAATCTTTTAAGCAATGCATTTAAATTTACTTGTACAAGAATACAAGTAATTGTTGATCCCTAAGCAAATTAAAAATTGAGAATTGGAGTTAAAGATGATGGAATAGGTATCAGTTAAGAGGAACAATAAGTTTTATTTAAAGCATTTTCAAAAGTAAATTCAGAAGAAAGCAAGAAATTAAATGAATAAGGTGTAGGATTGGGTTTGGTTATTAGTAATTAAATAGCCTAAAATATTGGTTGTTCAGGATTGAATATAGAATCAAACAAAGATCAAAATAATCATTTTTCTTTCTTTTACTTCGATATAATGATGGAAGTACCTACAAACAAAAAAAAAGTGCCAAGTTTTAAAATCCCATAAATTACACCTCAATATTAAGAAGTTGATGAAATTACTACATTCAATTAAGAATGTTAAAAGATTGTAATAGATGCATTTCCATAATGTTGTCATTATTTAATTGTTGATGATGATTGCTTTAATGGATATGCTTTCAAAAGAATTTTAATTGGATTATAAAATAAATATGCTTAAACTATATAATAATTTGATGTAGAATATGTTTCATCTGGAAAAGACTCTCTTATAAAAATATAAGAAAAGAAATGTAATAAGATATGTTAAGGTTATAAACTAATATTTATGGATGTAGAAATGCCAGTTATGAATGGAATATAGACTACAAAATAAATCTTGTAAATTAATCCAAAATAGTTGATTGTAGGTTGTAGTGGATATTCAGATTTCTAGGAGAAATAGAAGTGTCTAGAGGCTGGCATGATTGATTATCTCACAAAACCTGTAACAGAATTAGATCTCATGCAAATACTACAGAAATATTAATGATATTATTATGATTATTTTTGATAACTTATTAAATATGAAATTCATCTTTCATACAATTCACTTGAACCTCCATAACGAGCTTAGATATCCCAGAAGATATTTTGAAGAGCTTAAGTTAATGATAAAGGTCTGACACATAAGTCATCAATAGTTTTTGATCCTTATTGGACTATCATATCATCACCATGTTTCAATATATAATCAATATTGAAATATTTCCAATTAGGAATATATTAGGCTAAAAAATTAATATAGATATATATATATTTTACCTATTTTCAATAATAATTATTTATCAATATGAGCCAATTTAGGTGGTCTTTACACAATGTTATGGAACATTTCATAACATTCTAACAATGTATAAACATGAGGTCCTCCTAATTCATATGTTTAACCTATTGTTTCAGGCATCTTCAAAGCATTCAACATAGCTTATGCTACATCTTAGACAAATATCTATCTTATCTAAATTAATAATTTACAGGTTATCTTTTGGCTTGACAATTATCTGGAACAATATTAAAGTTATGAAAGTATCTCTTTTATACTTGCCAATGATAAGCAAAATCATCATTGTCTCCTACCATTACACTTGGTCTAAAAATTGTAGCATTTGGAAAAGCATTAAGGACCTATATTTATAATAAAAATATAATACTTCTTATTCACCAATATATTTAGTTTAGAGATCTAGGGATTCTGCATGAGGATTTGCACCACAAGCAGAAAAATGAATTAATCTGATTACTCCAGGATTTTTAGCACATGCTTCAGCTATTCTTTTTGGGACTGTTATATTAATCCATTCAAAATCTTTTCTATTTTTAAGATGTTTTCTAGGTCCAAGTAAATTTACAACAACATTTGAATTTTTCATAGTCCATTCTATCATTTCTTTATTGTCATAATTCATATCATGTAAAAGCCAATTTTATCCTGGTCCTGATGTTGTTTTTAATTCTCTAACATGATCTTCATAATTGTATCTATTTAATCTATATAAATTCTTACTGATGATTATGAGGAAATATTAATTCTGATCCAATATTTCCAAGCATACCACCCATGTATATACCTGAGAAACTAGTACCACCATGAATAGTTGCTCTGATTCCTGAAGGAGTATGTTTACCACCCTTATCATAAATGTGCAATTTAGGTCTTGATAAGACACTAAAGTGAAACCTTAAAACCTTTTACATTTATTATTATATTAATAAATAAAATAATCTTAAAAAGTATGTACATCTCCCATGATGTGTGGTATTAAATAATAAAAAATATATGCCTTTGGTGGGGGTCGATCCCACGACCTCGAGATTATGAGACTCGCGCTCTAACCAACTGAGCTACAAGGGCATCTCTGCTCTTTGTATATAAATCATCATATATTTATGATTCATATATTTATCATCATAATAATTCAGGATAAACAATAGGTGTAGAATGTGTACTATATTTAAAATGAGCAAATGTTCCACTAGCTAGTCTTTTAATCCATCAGCCCATAATTTAAAGTATTTAATTATATCATGTAATTTATCATCATCGATTAAAGCTCCAACAACAAGAGAATCAGTTTCTAAATTATCTCTCTTACCTAAATTAGTGCATAAATGTGCAATCTAACAATCCTTCATAACTTTTGCTGTTGGCTATTGAGATAGTAATTTTGATTCAACATAACTTCTTGAATCTAAAGTATAACAAAGTATTCCATTCGAAGCAAGTATTTTTGTTGCTAAATGAGAAACTATTAAAGCTCTGTTGACTTCAGCTTTATATAGATTATACATATCTAATTCATCAAAATACTGATTGCTTCATAATAATTACTATATTTTTTTGGCTTTTTAATGAATTTCTATAAATCATCTTCCTAATTAATAAAGAAATTAGTTTTCATAGGTAATTCAGATTATAAACCCAAATGTCCAATTGGCCCGTTTTGATAATATTATTAATATAACATTGGGTATTAATAGGTTTTCATTCCCTCCAAAAAATAATATATTTCTAATTCACTAACATTCTATATTCAACAAAAATTCTGATCTTGATGAAAGAACCTTCTTAAATATTTAGCCACATCTATTAATTTATTATTTTTTGGCATATTAATTATTAATTCTGAAGTGTTTTCCTGATTCAACTAGCATTATTATAGTGTTAAATTTCATTTCTATTTATTATTTTATTTAATATTCAATTAATAGGTTTGATATTATATTAATAAATGATACTATTTTATTTTATTTAAAAGTATATTATAAACTTGAAATTATCATAAATATCTAAATAATTAGACATATTAAAATTAAATCTTTAATTAATAATCCATCTTTTTAGTAGTATCTAATAATTTCAATTGTTAAGATAATTTAATTTGTTAAAAAATAATACTTAAATATATAACTTTAATTATGTGATGATAATATCTTCAAGATTATATAAGTTAGTAATATTTTTAATCTTTAAAACAAACTTAAATAAGGGCAATGCATTTAAATCTTTAATACATTTTAGATGACTTGATAGTAAGTCTTTATTTTAATTATTATTATATCTTTTGACATCCATAAGTTAAAGGTTTATAAATACTATTTTAATTTAAAAGGAAATTAAGGATTATTAAGAAAATTTTAACTAAGGAATTTTTAGATAGAAGTGTTCTTAAATAAATTTATCATTATTGGATTTTATAAGGTATTATATACCTAAAGTAATTTAAGATATATGTATTTACTTAAATAAATGTAATCTTAACCTTGTTAACAAGATTTTATTAATTTATTTGATTTATATTGAATAGTTTATTGAAAATGTTAAAAATGTTAATAATATAATAATTAATCTTAAGTTGACGTATTTGACATTATAAATCATAAGAATTATATTCTAAACATTTAATTCTAATTATTAACGCTATATATTTTGATTACAGATTGAAGTTTAATCAATAATAATTTAATAATACTAATGGGAAGTGGGGCTACAAAAGAGAAACCTAATAGTCTTAATTAGATTGAACAAAATTAATCATCATTAACTTGTAATATTTTTTTTTTATTTTTTAAGAAATTGGGTAAAATGATGGTTCTCCTCAAATATTTACTTTAAAAAATAACCCTCAGTTAAGCAAAGGTATTTTAAATATTTTACAATTAGCCTTTAATCTGCTGAAGAAATAACAATTTTAAGAAGCGATTATCATTCTGGATATTTTAATAGAGAAAAATCCAAACTTAGCTGATGCCTAGTACTTAAAAGGTTTTTCATTTTTATTTAAACTTAGGTTTGGCTTATCTAGGCCTAAATGACTTATAAAATGCCCTTTGTTATTGTAAAGTTGCTACAGATATTGATAAAAAACACACTAATGCTCTAGCAGAGATAGGTAACGTTAATAATAATAAAATATTAGGAAACATTTATACTTTAGAGAGAAAGTATGAGGAAGCTTTGGTTATATTTCATTAATTGATTGAGTTGAATGAAAAATCATTTGAAGGAAATTTTGGGATCGGATTTATAAATTTGTTATTAAATAATTTAGAAATTGCTGAACCATATTTCAAAAATGCTCTGAAGATTAAATCTAAAGACAAAGCAGCTCTTTTGAACTATGGTAAATATTTAATTTAAGAATAGGTCATCTACTAATAAAACAGCAAAAGTATGATGAAAGTCTTTAATATTATGAACAGGCATTGAAAGAAGATCCAAAATATTCTGATGCAATAAATGCTATTACTAATGTCTATTTACGTCAAAAGAAATATGATTAACTTTTTGAATTTTTAGATAATTTAGGAGACTAAAAAATATCAAAAGTCAAATCAGTTATCTTAAATTGTAAAAGTAAATTAGAAATTTATGATTTTTAGGTTAAGCTTATTATGGTTTAAAATAGTATGATAATTCAATGAAACTTTGTGAAGAAGTGTTAGAATATGATCCAAATAATTATGATTCTCTTTATGGAATGGGTATGTGTCTTTATCATTAAAATCAATTACACAAAGCTATGACTTATTTCAATTAGATTATTCATAACAATCCTTTAGATTTAAAAACATTAAAGATAATAACAAAGATTAGTTCAACTTTATAACTTTATTATTAATTGAGTGATTGTTGTGATAAGATTATTCAATTAGGTTTTGGAGATTAATCAATTTATTACTATAGAGGATTGGCTTTTATGAATTAAAAACAATATTAAAATGCAATTGATGACTTTGATAAAAGTTTAAGTTATGATTAAAATAATATAATAGCTCTTAAAAACAAAGGTATTATAAATTAATTAAGTAATAGCCATTTGTTTAACTCAAATTAAAGACTTTGATTAAGCTGTATTATGTTATGATATAATTTTAAAATAATCAAAAGATGTTTAATAAAAATAAGATTTATATTATGAAAAAGGTATCAAATATAATTTAAACAATAGGCTATTGTCACTTATTAGGATAACAATTCTTTTCTGCCAAAACTAATTTTGATTCTGCTTTATAATTAAAGCCAAAAAATGATAATTTAATTTTAAAAATTGCTAATGCATATAGAGATAATAATAATATATAACCTGCTACAAATATGTATGATCGACTGATTAAAATGAAACCAGATAATCCATTATATTATGCAGAAAAAGCATAATTATTAGATTAGTTAGGTAATTAAAAGGAAGCAAAATTATTATATGACAAAGCAATATCATTATAAAATGATAATCCTAAATTTTATATATAAAGAGGTATATGATAATTCTTATTTAATAGCAAAAATCTAAATATAGATTTAAGAATTTGATGAAGCCATTGAAGATTTATAATAGGCTATAAAATTAAATGACTAAGATTCTGAAATATTTTTTGAACTTGGATAATTGTTTTATGGAAAATAGAATTTCGAATAATGTATAGTTTAACTTTAAAAGGCAATTGATATAAATGATAATGTTGAGAAATATCATTTGAAATATGCATAAGCATTATAAATGTAAGATTTCGATTAAGAAGCAATTGAATATCTTCAAAGTATTATTGTTAAACATGCTGATTTTGATAATTGTAAGAATCTTTTGGAAAATTCAAATGTAAATTCTTTTTCTTCAAGAGAATACACTAATGTTTTTGCTTACTTTATGATTTCAATGTTTTCTGAAGGAATGGTTGATGAAAATCGTTCAATTGATGTAGTAAGAGAAGAATCTTTGAGATTTATATAAGAAAAATTGAAGAGTGAATTTCCTAAAATACCAAATATTTTTGAAATAATAACAAATTTGATGACATAAAAATATGATTACAATTTAATTAAAAACAAGAAGGAAATCAAAAGAATATTAGCAATATTATATAAAAATAAATTTGAATAATAATAATAATGTATTATGGATTTTATTGAATCAGGGAGAAGAATCACTAAATTAAAAGAGAATGATTTAAAAAATGATGATTAAAACATAAATAATTAATTATAAGAGATATTCTTGTAATAATGTTCAGAGTTTCAATTAGGATAGTTTTAAAGCAAAGCATCAGCATTAGCAATTTCAGATTCAGTGGCATTAATAACTGGCATATTATTAAGTTACAATAAATTAGTTTAAACAAAACAACCATTTAAAAATTAGATTTATGATTTAATAAAGAATGGAAGTTTGAGTAAACTGAAATAAAAATGATTAAATATTTCTTGTTTTACTTATTAATAATATTATTAATTCTAATTGAAATAAATGGAATTTCCAAAAAATTGAATTATTCATTCTAAATATTTTTTTATTGAAACACATACTATAATGAATATCATATTTATAAAATAATATATATTAATTAATAGTATAAATATATACATATAAATTAAACTCAAAATTTTTATTAAGACAATATAAAATCAATAGCATTGATATTGTTTAATTCATCTTAAGATTTTTTATAACAATATTTTTGTATATATTCCCATAATTAATTAGAATTTAAGCCTTTAAGCAAATTAAATGCTTAATTGTATGCATATGATTCATCATTTATAAACACTAATTATTTACATTCTCCTAAAGATGCAGCAACCCATTAAATTAAAGCTTTTAATTACCATTCTCCACCAAAAACTCCACATCCCCATTTTCCAGTACATATGCGAGGTATTCCATAAAATCCACTATAAGATTTAATTAATTCTCTTTTGATGTCTTTATATTATAAATGATAATTTCCAGAATAATCTCCTGCATCTATACACTATAATATTTAATTAAATATCTTACAATAAAATTAGTACTTTTTATTTATTTAATTGTTCCTTTACATTCAAATTTATCTTTATAGCCATCATACATAATAAGTCTGTTTACTTTTTCTATAATAATTGATTCATCTGGTTTTATTTCAGTAGTTATTAATAATGATGCCAATGCTTCAGGATGTGTCAAAAATAATATTTCCTCTTGCACACATCCTAAATTAAGTACTCCACCTCCTATTTTCTTATTTGCAAAATCCACTATATATGAATCTGAAACATTCTCCATTTATCCATATTCACAATAAATAAATTCACATAAAGGATTATTATGTATTATTAAATTATGCTTTTTTCTTGTAAATATAATCTTTTCTTATGATTTGAATTCAGGTGAAAATACATGAAGGAAATAATAAATTAAACATCTTATTTTTTAAATCTTATTATTATTCTATCCATTATCTTCATTTGATATATTAAATAATTTTGCCATTATGAAAACAGATGGCAATAATTTATAATCAGGTTATAAATGCATAACACATAAAAACATATTTGCTAATAATATTGCTACTTATATCCTTTTTAATTCTACTCTCTCTATAAGCATACCTAAATAATCTTTAAATTCTTAATCCATCTTAAGAGCTAATTCAACTATCTAAGGTATTTTAGCTAAGAATTCTTTTTTTTATGGAAATCCATCCAAAGCTTAACAAAAATTTCTGAAATTAATTTTGTTCTTTATTTGTTTTGGCTAACTATAATTAAAAATAATACATTTGGGAAATGCAAACAATAAATTTCCTCTATTACTTATTAAACATTAAAGGCTGTTAAATTATTTTAGCTAATCTTTAATAAACAAAGTTATTTCTTAATTTCAGGCCATAATTTATTAAACAAATTAGGAGAGATGTACAAAAATTATCTATTCTATAATATTAATCAATTACAATGCTTGCTATTATGTTTTATTATTTTAAGTGTCTTCTTCTTAGTCTGATAAAATTGGTGTCAGATTGTCACCAAAATTTTGATCTAATGATTAATAATTCATTAAATATTGTAATATAAATAATACATTTACACATTATACAAAAATTTATATACAAAAAAAAAGTTTATTAAAAAAAAAGGAGAGATTATCATCTATTAATTATATATAATATATTTAGTATTATTTTATTATTAACATTTATTAAAATAGTAATCATTAACATATAAGACTATTAGGCAATAATTTATTTGATGTTTGTGATTTTAAATAATTTATAGTATTACCTTATAAACATAAAACTTATTATGTATTAATTTATTTATTAGTGTATGATTTATATAATAGACGATCCTCATCATATATTGACAATAATGCATCATAATTAGGATTTATTATAAATACCAAAATAGGATAATCAACTTCATCTATTTTTATTATTTAAGTTGTATCATCAATATATTCTAGATGCATATAATTATTAGATCCAACCCACTTAGTAGTTGTATATTATTTATAAATACTGGTGGCAAATGTTGTACCTAACATAGATTATTTAGATCCCTATAAAATAATTGATAGTTATTTCTATTATTTGATTAGATTTATGTTTAATAATGTATCCTTATTTATAAAAATATTTTATTCATAAGGAATGTATCCTTTGGATTATATTATTAATATATAAGATTATTCTTATACAAAATTTAAAGTATTCTAATTTTGTATCTATAAATATTCAGTATTAGTGATTGGATTAAGTAATTTTATAGTGTAATTTTAATTAATGTTTAATTAACACTATAATTTCCAAAATCTAACTGCTTAGAGTGTTTTAAGTATGTCTTAATTCTAAATAAGATTAGTTTAACTAATTTCTTTAAGTAATCTAGTAGATTTTTTAATTGTAAAATCTATATTAACTGTTTTACTAGTAACACACATATAGATCTAAATATAAATATTTAAATAATACATTTGAATAAATATAATTTTAGATGGCATCAAATTTACCAATAAATTTTAATTCAGTGAAATTTGAATCATCAACATAAAAATCTTTAGAATTACTTAATCTATAATAATTCATTGGATAATCTGTTTTAATTGTTAATTCAATATTATCACAATATATAAATTAACAATTAAGAGTAATGAAATTCTTCATTTAACTACATCCTTTTGGAATATCTATATATTTAGAAGTTTAAAGTGAATTAAATTTATTGATATCTTAATTAATCTCTTTACTAAATAAAAAGATTGTTATAATAATTAAAAATAACTAAATAGTTCCAAAAATGAAATCATAAATTTTAATTTCTGTATTCAATAATGGAGGTTTTTATGATATGTACAAAATAAGTGTTAATGTAGCAAAACCAATTAATTAATGAACTAAAGATATGACATTCAATTTAAATTTAGATCTATCAGCTACTATACCACAACAATTGAGATTCAAACATCCTAATTTTGTATCTCTTTAAGAAATGGGTATTTTTGTATCTAATTCCCACATAAAGGCTTTTTAATCATCATTACACTATACATTTTCTTAATATTTTTAACAAATAGTATTGGCAAATAAAAAGTCCATATGTAGATTTCTTAAATGAGCTGAACAATCATTTAAGACTGATATTTTATTTTATTTTGCCTATCTTACATTTAAAAAGTGTTAATATTGATTGAGTATTAAATAAAATAATAAAATAGCTCCAATAGTAAAATAAGCAACTTTAATTTTTTTAAGATTAGCACTATATACTAATGTACTTGTTGAAATTAATAATAATAATAATATTAATTAAAATCCAATAAGTTTTGAATAATGATTGATAGCTATTCCAGTTATAAAAAATAAAGTATTGTAAATGTGTAAAGCTATCATAAGATTCTACTAATCTTAACAAAGATAAAGACTATAAGTAATATAAAAATATGAAATTAGAAGTAGGAATAATGATAAAAGTATTGAACGAAATAAAAGTGTAAAATGTTACCATTCTTAAATTTAATTGATATAACTGGAATTCTCACCAATTTTATAATTATAATCAGCTTCAAATGAGGCAATAAAGAATATAATCAAAGAGATTGCCATTATTATCATTAAGCCATTTAAAACAAATGATAATTATCTAATTACTGAATCCTCTAAGAGTTTATAATTTATACATAATACTTTCTTATTTCCAAAATATATTGAATATCGATAAAGATATTCCATAGATAGAAGAGTAAAGTAATATCTCATAAAAGTATGGTGGATAAATAGTCTTATAAAGAAAAGTAATCACAATAAGATAAATATTGATTAAGATAGTGAAAGGAATAACAAATTTTGTGTATTTTATGAAATTGGACTATTCATCAAAATTCCAACCTATTGATAAGTAATTAAAATTAATACCATCAACTGAATAGTTGTCGTTATCTGTAATTTATTTCATTAATTTATTGTTAAAATATTATATTATATATTTTAATTGATTCAGAATTATATGATTAATATAATCAAACTCATTAAAAATAATTTACTATATCCTTCACATTCTATACATTGATTTTTTACATTATTCCAAAAGTATGTACCTAATGTTAGAATTGAACAATTATTTTATTATAGTTAAGAAACACTGTTCAATTCAATACATTAATTACCTGTCCAAGAACATATAGTAAATTAATTACCATCTAAATGTGGAATGTATTTGCATGAACTTTAAGATGTAAAATCCTTACATTATTTCTCTTTACAATCATTGTTTGACCATACACAATAAGTTATATCACACAAAGGTTCATTTAAGTCAGATGCATCATCACAATTATTCAATTAAAATGCCACACATTTATTACTTATACTCTTCCATACACATCTATAACCATCTGATTATACACCATTACAACTTGCTGAAGTAAGTTATTCAGAACAAATAACATACTCTATTTGTTTTGCCAAATAATTAGTACATTAATAATAACCTTCACTTTTTTTACCACTTGATACACATCCTATTACTTAATTGCCTTTATTATAACATTACTCTTCTACATCTACATAATATGCATTGCATTAAGAAAAAACAGAACAAGTTTAAGTCTTATGATCAAATGAACAATCAAATCTTGAATCACATTCTACTCTTGATTTAACATCAGAACAAACCAAATTTGCACATAATTTCTATTCAAATTTACATCCAAATGCTGTACAATCATATTCTAAAAAGATTTCTGAACATAAACAAGTTTTATCTAAACTCACGATAACTGATTAACATATTGTAAAAAGTATTAATATCAACATATTATTATTAATGTTTCATTCTCCAAAAAGCATTTTCTTTGCTCTCTCTTACTATTTCTTCTTTATTTATTTCTCTTTCTCTCCAATACTCTATAATTCTTTTATTACTTCCTCATTCTATGGATCCAATTAATTTGCCAATTTTAAATCACATCTAATTATATTTATTATATTATTTACTTAGCACTATCAAAATCATCTATTTAAATTGAAGCCACAGCTCTTCTATGTAATAATTTAACATTTTCTGGTTATCCTTATAATACATTTGATGCTTATTTGATACATTATTCAAATTATTTATTTTTCAAATATGTTAAAGATAAATTAGATCTCAATTAACCTTATAATTCTAATTCTCTATCACAATACTCTGTTTTTATTAAATTTAATGATTCCAAATATTTATTTTAAGCTTCTAGATATTTTTATTATTTAATATCTCCATTTCCTAATCCTTTTAATTCCAAAGCTTTCTCATATACTTCCTCTCCTTCTAAATGCCATGGATTATTCTTCTTTCTCCCTATTCTTATAATCTCGATTTCATATTAATCATAAAATTCCTTTTGGATAGTTATATATATAATACTTTTGTAGCAGGTGAATGATAAATCTTAATGAGACTTCTTTCCCCTTATTTCATTTTACTTAAAGCTTCTTCAACCTCTGGTTATAACCATCCTCTTCCAATTATCGTTTTAGTAGCAGTATGTTATGATCCAGTAAGTAATTCACCTTTATGATTGTGAGCAATAAAAAAGACTAATATTTAAGATATTTATTATTACAAAAAACTTCTTCATATTATCTAGGAGTGTCTCCAATACCTTCCTTTATTATTTAGATATCAATCATATAAATTAAATTAATATCAATTAGATATGGTGTACGGTCGTCTCATCTATAATAATGTTAAAGATTATACTCCTCAATGGTTCAAGACTATACCCTATTAATAAACAGTGAAGCCATCATTTGGTATTAAATGAGAATTATAGTAGTAAGAAAACCCTAAGTAGTATCTCGTTTGAATAGCGATCCTAAAGTGAAAGCTTTTTGGAGATTTTTAGGTAGAAATGTAGCTGACAATCCTTGGGCTTGGTAAATTTACATTTTTGCAAGTAAATAAATCAATAAGCAATTTTAGATTCTGTTGTGATTTTTGGTCTTTGCTATTATCCATGGCTTTGGGTATACTAATATAATAATAAGAAGGTATAGAAATTATATTTATAAAATTAGCGTACTATTGATTATGCCTTATAATAAGAGAAAGAATGGAAAGCAAAATAAGAAGCAGCTGGAGAATGAAAATAATAAATTTATTGTTCAAATCATTATTATTATTATTATTATTATTAATCTTATTGTTTTGGACCTAAATATGTTTCAGAGACATCCTATCCATACTTCTTTTCTACTATTGCTCTAGTGTCTGTTCCTATTTAATCACCTATCTTAGATAATGCAGATCCTAAACCAGTCAAAGCAGTTCCCATTGCATCCCAAGTAGCCACAAATATTTCTCGACCTTCCTTCAATCCTTTAATTATAATATAAATTTATTTGATTACCTTAACTATCTGAATTATCAATCTATTTATTAATATCTTACTTTATTTCTGACCCTTTTTAAACAACAGGAGTGAATAATTATTTTAGATATGCTCCAGTTACATCAACTGTTTATGAAAACTTAGACTTAGCAGTTTCTACTTTAATTTTAGTTTCAGGTTTGACTTCAACATCTTCTTTTTTCTCAACTTTTGAATTGATGTATTCACCTCCTGCTGCCACTCCTTTAGCTATTTTATCTCCTAACCAATTAAAGCCTTCTTTCAAAGCTCTTAATAAGATATCAGGTACAATACTTACTCTCCTCCAGCCTTAATATAACCAACTGCTGTAGTACTATTTTCTAATGGATTAATATCTATATCTTTGCAATGAATTTGGATGCTTTATTTGAATTAAGGAATTTGGATAGCATTTTCAAAAGGAATTATTTATACTAATTATTGAAGTGCATTTAAAAAGAGATCTCCTTATTGTCCTTTCTAAATGAAAATTCCATTTAATCCTAAATATTCTAGAAACTCTTACCTGCAGTGGAATTTGGATATAAAAGAGAAAATCCTTTTTCAGACTTAAGAATAACCCAAGGAGTACTTGGAAAGATTGTTTGACAATAGGTGTTGATCATTACAAAATAGATTCGAGCATCTGGCATATAACAAATTTAGATTTATCCTTCATGAACCAGTTTTCTACTATTTTAAACTAATTCTAAAAGTCGAGCATTTTATGATGTTGTTACTATTTAAGCTTAAGTATTATTGTTCATTTAATTAATGAATAAGAAAATTATAACATATAAAAAAGTATGCATTCATTAATTATAATTCTTATAGATTCTTTATAGAAATTAGAATCATTAAAAACAATAATATAAAAGATAATTTATTATTGAGATATATTAAATGTAATCAATTATTTAATCAGACGATTTTCTTAAATTCAAAATATAATATAATAGGAAATATTTTCTAATATTAATAATAGAAAAAAATAAAAAATATTTGTTCTATTTGAAGTAGTATTAAAAATTCATGTGAATTATTATGATAGCTAAGTTAATTTATATATAATTGGGTTGCTTATTTAATATTGTATTAATCACTGAATTAAATATAAATATTAAATGTATAAAGACATTGACATTAATGAGATTGAGAAATTGAAAAAAGATCAAGAGATGATGTCTTTGAAAAAGGCACCAACAAATATCAAAGTAAGAAGAATTGAAATCTTTGTGAATAGGAACGTTTTGGTTAATCAAATAAAGACTTTTTGGAAGATGAATTTAAACAAAAGACTGTTGGTCTTGTTACTCGTGAGGAATTTAAGAGAAAGAGAGAGAATATTGATAATCTTGTGATGCAGGATATGAAATAAAAATAGGAGGAAGAAAATAAAAGAAAATTGGAACTTAAATAAAAGCGAAAAGAAGAATATTAGAAGAAGACTACATTACTGTCTTTTGATTTAGATAATGAAGGTAGTCCTTAAAAAAGTTATGGGAAAAATGAACATGTAGATACAACTTATTTACCTGATATGAATAGAGAAAGAAAAATTGAAGAGATGACTAGATAATTGGCAGGTATGTGTTTATTGTATATGATTTAGAATAATATTAAAAGGAAGTAGAATCATAAAAAGATTCACTGATTGATATTTAATTTCAATATTGGGATGCATCAACTTGTTCTAAGTCTTTAAGAATTAAAAAGAAGATGACAATCTTAGAATTCTTGGAAATGGCCAGAAGAGAAATTATAAGAGATTTTGGATTTGTATATGTTTGTTATTATGGAATATTAGTTAACAGAGTTTAGTCCAGAAGACTTGATCATAGTAGCCAATGGAATGATTTTACCTCATAAACTTAGTTTTTATGATCTTATAGCTCATAAAGTTAAGAATAGATCTGGTACACTAATCTTTTCATTTGATCGAAGAAAGGTATTATTCTGAGGCTTAAATTGGTTTAAATTAGGTTTAAGCAAAAGGATAGGAATATGAAGTAGAGGTTGAGAAGTCCACCACATGTAAAATCATAGAGAAGTTTAGATATGAAAAGATAAAACATATATATCCATGTTCTAAATGGGAGAATGTAGAAATCAACAAATACTAATGACATTTTACAAAAATTAAGACAACAAAATATAAATATTAATATGTTAAACAATAAAAACTAAAGTAAAATGACTAAATCTAACTTTTTCAATACTCCAAAAGTATCTATAGGAATGTTTTCTAATCAGTAATCCATCATTTCTTAATTACTTTCAACCAAAGGGAAATCATAAAATAAAAAGCATAAGGTATCAAAAACAACCTATGAATTTTAAATATTTAGAGCAGATACTCCAAATTCTCCAATTAAAACAAATCCATTTAAAACTAAATATCATTTTAATACTCTATCTCAATTAACAAAATTAGAAAGCAACAATGTTTCTAATAATATTCAGTAAGAAAAAACAAAAAATTAAGATACTAGCTCTTATCTTGGAGATGTGAGTATTAGAATAAGAAGTATTGAAGATGATTAAATTAACAAAATTCTTAAAAGTCTAAAATTAATTGGTGAACAAATGACTCATAACAAACAAACATAAATTAACTAAATTATTATGTAATAATGGCAAAATTAATTAAACCAACATTGTGATAAATTAATAAAAATCTTATCACTTGAAGTTAATTCCTCCTCCAACTTTTATTAACCATCTATTCATATTGATAATTAATTGTAAATATAATTGACAGAAGAAAGAAAAAATAGACTATTAGTAGAAGAATAAACAAGTAAGATTATTCAAAGTTAAGAATAATAAATTAAATAATATGTATTTTATTATTACAATCTTTTTTTAGATTGAGACTATCAAATTACTTGAATAAAAATTATTGAATAGTATGTGATTACTTATTTTATTTATATAGATTATAATTTTATATGATAAAAAGTTTATAAATATTAAAATAAATAGATGGATAATCTAGAGTAGAATGCCATAACTTAATTATTAAATTTAGAAGATAAAGAAATACAAAATGCGTGGGACATAAATTCTCCCATTTAAATTCATAAAAGTAGATCTTTAGTGTAATTGAGACACAAGAAAATTCATTAACCAATTGAATAAAGGAAAAAAATTGATATGAATCATGAATGTCATTTTCACAAATTTCCTAAAATTTATTAATAAGAGCATTCCTTTAAATCTTTAATGGAAGAGTATTTTAAATAATTGAATTAAAAATAACTCAATCTTAAAAAAGATGTCTAAAAATCTACTAGACTTAGACACAGTTCCTACTTAATAGAAGAAGGTGCTAATAGAAAAAGTAAACACTCTTGTCATGAAATACTTCTATAAGATAATTCCTCTAATAAATAAATTAAGTTATCAGATTTATGTAAAGATATCATGATTTACAAACCATTAAAAAAATCATCTTATTTTCCAAGATTATAGCCAAGTTTACATCTAAAATGAATTAATTATTCTCTATCTATTATGATTTCAAATCCAAATTTATATCGTATATATATAAAAAACAAACAAACAACTTATTTTTCTTAAAAAACCAAATTACAATTATTTTTTTTTTATATAATTTAACCGAATGGACCATTCTCCAAATAGACCTTCAGTATCTCCTTTATCAAAAACCCGTATGTAGTCAGAATAGACACTCAAATTATAAGATCTAAAGTATAAGGAGAAACTATTATAAATGGATAAGATAAATGCAAGTAGCAAATCATAATAAAATTTTAGAATTGCAATCCTAATTGGATGAAGCCCTTTTAGAATTAGAAAAGGCAAATAAGAATTTGCATCTTCAGAATTAAATGAAGGAAACCTAAGATAATGAATATCTGAGACTTTTGAAAGAAAATGAATTACTAAAGGGAGATCTATAATTTAAACTTTAAGAAAATGAATTGAATAAGTAGAAGTTAGCCTAATAGAATAAATAATATTAATCATCACTTGAAAATCTAAAGTAATATATAAATGTTTAAATATAGAGAATAATATGAATAGCTTTAACAGTCATTGATGAATAAATACATTATTGAAATGAATACAAAACTATAAGATCAAAAACAATAATATGATACATTTAGCAAATTGTAGACTGAAAGAATGAAAGAAAATGAACATATGGAAAAATAGTATTAAGAATAAATATTGGATTATAAATAATCAATATAAGAAATCTAAATTAAAGTAAATGAATAAAAATAATAAATCGAAACATTTCAGAAATAATCTTATATAGATAAGTAAATAATAGCTGATAAAGAATTATAAGAGTAACTTCTTTTAAAAAAAGTAGAATAACTTCAAATAGAATTAAGCAGATTAACAACTGATATAGATATTTCAAAAGAGAAATATTTAAGATTAGAAAAACAATATGAATAAAACATTACCAATATAGTATAAAGTAAAGATTAACAAGCAGAAGAGTAAACAAGTAAATTATATTAATAACATGAATAATCCATTCAAAATTTGACATTACAAAATCAAGATATTTGGAAACAATTATAAGAATAGAAATAGATTAATTAAGTATAATAGAAAGAGATTACAAGATTGTTACATACTAATTAATAACAAGGTTAAGATTTAATTGAAAAAGACAAAAAACTAAAAGATTTATCATTAAATACAAACTAATCATCTGAATAATGTATAATTCTTTAATAAAGTTTACTTTAGACTGAATAAGCATTACAATTATATAAATCTTAATTAGATGATTTTAAATAAACTAGAGGGGACTTTGAATAAAGAATGATGGAAAGAAGTAAAGGGATATTGAGATAAAAAGAATAAGAATTTCAATAGGCTCAATAAATGAATGAATAAAAGATTGATGATTTAACTTAGGAAATTGAAAGAATGGAAAATGAATATTAAAATTAAAGTTTTAAATAGTTATAAGAAAAATTAATGAGTGAATCAAATGTTAAATCATTATTAGTGAAAATTGCTGGAATTGAAGAATAAAACTCTACCTTATTATCATAATTAGAAGAAACAAGATAAGAATTATTATAAAAATCAACTCTGTCTGAAAATTTAAGTGTTTAATTAAACAAAGAAAAAACCTATAATTAAACTACACTAAGAATTTAAAAGAATCAGATGTCTGATTTATAATAAAAATTAAATGAATATTAAGTAGAAGTGGATAGATTGTCATGTGATGTTAGGGAAAGAGATGATATTCTTGAAAACCAAAGGATGTAATTTATTAATGAGAAAAATGAATTAGAATAATAAATCAAAATTATTTTTGAGAAGATGTCTTAATAAAGATAAAGAATACAAGAATTAGATGATCAAAATTATTAATAATAATGTTAAATATAAAAACTTACTATAGAGAGAGATAAATTAGATAAAGATTTAAAATCATTAACAAGTACTACAAATGAATAAATCAGAAAATAAAAAGAGTAAATAGATAATTGTAATAAATTAATTGAAGAGAATCAATTAACAATTCTTTAAAATGAAGAACAAATTTAAAATAATGAAACATAGATTGCAGAATTATAAAACTAATTAGAAGAATAATATGCTTAAAATTAAAAATTAACTAAAGATGTAAATGAATTAAATGATGAATTAGAAGAAACAAGATAAGATAGAGAAGCTAAAATTTAAGAAATGGATTAATGGAAAAGATAATTTAAATAAAATAATGTTCCATTGTCTGATTATGATTAAGTTAAAAAAGAAGCTGAATTATATAAAAATAAATCAATGGATTAAGAATAACTTATTAATAAATTAGAAACTTAATAATAAGCTAATAATAAAGAGATTTATCACTTATAAGGTGAATTATCATAGTATAAATCTAATTTATAAGAAACTTAATCATAATTAGTTAATAAGAAAAAAGAAAATGATAATATGAGTACAGAATTAGAAAATTTAAAAAGAGAATAACAAAGAACATTAAATTAATTGAAAGAGATTGAACAAAGAGATTAATAAAATAGTGAATTAGTCATTAAATAAAAGAAGGAAATCTAAAGATTGTAAATATTGATAAATTCATTAATAGAAATGATGATTTAGAAACAAAAAATAGATAATTAGGCAATATGGAATAATAATTAAATAAGAAGTTTGATGAGGTAGCAACTAAATAAAGAGAACTTGAAGAATTAAAGAGAAAATTTCAATAAGATGCTTTTGGAAAAATGACTACAAGTCCATCTTAAAAGTCTGTAATGATGGCATCTTAAAATGTATTAATTCTAAATTAAATTAGATGGCTGCCAGATCTACTGCTAAAGGATTAACTACAAAAATATCAGAATAATAAAATTGAAATTTTTAAGTTTATTTTAAAATTTAACTCTTTATATAATAATTCAATATATTTAAATAACTCTAAGATATTCATTTTTCTTTTGGATACAATTTTATTCTAAATAACTTTATTCAATTAAATAGTTTTTTATTTATCAATAGTTGTTATTTTATTAGAATCTATTGATTAGTTAGATTTCATTGAAATAAAATGAATTTGATATTATAAAATAACTAATTATAAGATGATAAGAGGAAAACTAGTCATGAATCCTATATATGAATTAATTATATTATTATTATAAGAATTAAAAATCCTCAAGTTGTTATTTAAATAATTTAATACTAATACTAAATTTTTTGATAGTTGTCTGGAAAAATATTAGTTATTGGAATCTTTAAAATTTCATTTTTTTTAAATTCAAAAACAATTCTAAGTAAAAAAAATTGTTTAATATACTTAGCAGGAATTAATAATTTTCTTAAAATACAAAATATAATGAATAAAGTCATCTCATTTATTATCAAAATACCATCAACAAAGGCAGCTAAACTTAATTTATTTTAGGAAATTTTCATGTTTGAGAAAGAGAATTCCTTATTAAGTTTTCGCAAGAATTATTTTAAAAAAGTTGAATAGGCTTACTTTTAACCATTGCCTGTATGAAGAAAAAAATACTTAAGATTTTGATTTAAATAAAAAAACCTGATTTAAGTTATATTACAAATAATCCGAATTGTCCATGTTGAAATTTCAACTAATGAAATATTTGATTTATAAAGAATTAGAGGTTGGCATAGTGAATATTAATGATGAAATCTAGGTATTGTAAAATCATTCTCACATTTAGATTGATATCAATATTAAGTATAAATATTGTTGGTTGTTGGACTTGAATAATAATAAAATAATTAAGAAAAAATTTTAATAAGGCTAAAATAAAAAATATTAAGTTTTCTTATTATCTAAATATTTCATTGCATAATTGAATTGATAATGACAAATTTAGAATTAAACAACATTTAGTTTTCAGATATGAAAAAGAGTTTACTGAAAATATAGAATTATGAATTTCATACATTATTCAAACTACTAACTAATATAATTAATTTTTTAAGGGAAATAGGATTATAATGATCATAATTTTAATAAATATTATCAAAAGATGGTTATATTAAGGCAGAGTTTTCAGAAATATCATCCGATAAAATAAGGTATGTAAATTTCAAATATTATAAAAGTTGGTAAGATGGAAAAGGTGATTATAAAAATAATGGATAATTAATACATTTTGTAAAATAAAATAGGTCTTTTGAAATAAATACTTGTTGCAAACACGATATGAGTTATTTAAAGTCTTATCTTTTTGTAAAATAATTTCTACTTTCTGGAGGCATTATCTTTTTAGAGGGTATATTCAAGAAATTTGAATACCTAATTTATTCATATGTCTTATTAATTAGGTTGATTATAAAATTTATATTTACCTTCAAGAACTATTCTTTATTTTTATTACTAAATAGAAGTCCTTAAAGAAAATATTAATAATAGCTCATTAAGAATTCCCATCTAAGTTTTTTAGTATCTTATTATTAAGTAAATTATTAGATATTCTAAATTGGATTGAAGATTTAAAAAAAAGAAAGTTAAAACTCATCTTAAGAAAATTAGCATGATTGTTATAATAAAAAGTGAAATTCCCCTCCCTTATCATAACCAATACAAAATACTTTCATAAAATTAATAGCAAAATCTAGTGGATGATTGTAGTTTTTAAAAAATTGAATATTTGCACTAGCATAACTTTTTTTTAATTTTATATTTTTTTAAATTAAAAAAGCTGTCTTTGTAGTTAATTAACCAAATGCATAAAATAATTAAACAGTTATTAAAAAATGTGTTGTTATTTTCTAATTCTTTGGATAAACATAATTTAGAATCAAGATAAAATAATGTCTTCTTAAAAATGATTTTGTATTACAATAGTAATTATTTTAAAGAAATTTTATAATAATTTAATACTATGGGCAATAAATTTTGGAAAGATTGGCATTTGCGAACTCAAATTTGTATGATTTAATTCGCTATTTCAATTCTTACGATTGGCTTAATAGCCATCTCAACTTATTCATTTATGTTCTATATTTCTGATTTTTATATGGAAGCATCAGAGCATTTATTTTAAAAATAATATGGATAATGGACTAAAATAATGATGTCTCATAATATTCATCGAGTATAATAAACTTTATTTAGAAGTCAATAACAAATTATGAAAGTAAATACTTTATATGAAATGACTCAGTAAATAATGTTAAGCAATTTATAATAACCAACTTCATGTCTAAATGAATTAAAATTAATGGATGATTATGCTTACAGTGCTTCATTTTGTTATATGATATATAAAGACACTTAATCAAATAAAATCCTATAAAATCTCAAAGATCTCTCTGCATTTTTGACAGAAAGTGTACATATAATTGATTAAGATTTTGATATTATGATAGCATCATCAAATGATATTCATTTTTTTACAGTTTGGCCTGGCTCATTTTTAAGTTCTGATTACAATCCTTAAGAGAGAATTTGGTATCAGTAACATTTAGAATAATTGGCTTTGAATAATAATAATAATAATTCAACATATTATAGTGAACCTCATATCCATTGGACTTGGAAACTCTTAATGATTGCTCAAACAAAAAGTCTATTAAATATTGATGGTTCACTTGATGGAGTAATAGCGTCTCATGTAAATTTCAGCCAATTTAATTATTCTGATGATTAAGTAAGCTTTACTATCATAAATCCAACAGGTAGAATACTCTTAAGTTCTAAAAATGTTACTGAATATTCACATATATATGATTATAATATCACTAATTTAGGTTATCAAGATTATCAGTAGATATTAAATCAAGCATAAGGTAAACCTACATAAAGTAATTGTGATTCTACTGTTTGGAATGATTATGGATATTTATGTAGAAAAACTTATAATAAATAAGAAGAGGAATTAATAAGTACAAAAAGCATAGAAGAAACAGGATTGATTTTTATTATGTAAACATTTATTTAATAATTATTATAGGTAAAGCAAACTCTCAAAATATCAGATTGAATTTAAGAATATGTTTAATACTTTCTAATCATAATTAAACAACATATTTGTAGGAACAATTCTAGGTTTCTTTTTTTATATGCTATCATCTCTAATTATTACAACATGCGTAGTTATTTTTTTATTTAATCCCATAATCAAAATCATTAATTATACATCTTAATAATTATTCAAAAATAGTCTTAATAAAAAAAACTTTCTTTAGAAACAAAATCAATTTTCATTCTTTTAACAATTATCAACTTCTTAATTATTGAATGATTTACAATAATCATTTAACAGACTAATTCACATTACAACAAATTAAAATAAATCTACTATTTGTTATTTAATTGAAGGTTTTAAATACCCATATAAGAGATGGAAATAAAAAAGGTCTAATAAAAGAATTAGAAATATAAATCTTAAATTAAAAGATAATTTATAAAATGAAGAAACCCATAAACTTTAAATGTAGATTATAAAATAATTAATGATATCAGAGTTAAAAATTAATGGCTGTATCTGAAAAATTATTATTCTATTTTATAAGACACAGACTTAATCTATATAGAAAATCAAAAATAATCAAATAGATTTTTAGTATTAGAGATTAATACATTTATTATTAATATTACATTTATTAATTTTAATTATAAAATTCAATAAGGTTGATTATAATAGATATATATTATATATCAAAATTTTTATTTGTTATTCTCCTTAAATACAAAATCAATTTGCTATCAATATTATTATATTCTTTCTTCTTAATTTTCTCACCTTTAATATTATTAATGCAATCATGGACAAAAATTGTAAAAACACTGAAATTTTAACTCTCATTATATGATTTTCTTATAGAAAATAATCAAAATTTCATATCCATTCTTAATTAATTGGATATCTAAATAAGTAAGAGTGAATATGATAAAAATTATAAATTATCCTGTAATTTGGAGAATGCCAAAGTAAGAAATGATTCAAATTATCAGATCATTATTTTTAGCTAGAGAAGTTGAATTTATTTATTTATTATTCAAAATAAATATATTATTAGATAGTATTTAAATAAATTGTTAATAAAATAATTATTTAATTTCATAATTTCTATGAGATAATCAAGAGGAAGGAAAATTGATACTTCCAATTCAGAATCTGAAATATATCAAAACTTAGGACCTATTCTAAATAAACCAGGAAATGTTTAACCTTAGTAAAAACCAAAAAATTAAGGGAAACCAAAAAGCTAAACATAAAAGAAATCATAAACAAATCTAAAAAATCAAGAAAATAAGTTAACCAAAAAAATGAAAGAATATGAAAAATAGATCTCAGAACTAAGATAATAATTATAAGATGATTAAGCTAATTAATAATATATTCATTGTTTCAATAGTACAAAGTAAATATTCAAATTATTAAATTTAGAGAACAATATGAAAAACTAATATAAACATATGAAGAGACTATTCATCAACTTAAATAGACAGAATTAAATCTATTAGAAGAATTATAAGGATAAAGTGAGATAGCAAGAGATGCTTTGAATAAATTATATCAATATTAATAGGAATATAACACTGAACATGAAGAGTTAAGATAACATTATGAGTGTATTCTATTTATATTATTTAGAAATGATTAAAGACAAAGAATTAGAATTAAGTTAAAAGTATGAACTATAATTGTAATAATTGGAAAATATAAATCAACAATCAAGAATTTCAGAACCTAAAATTGCATAGGAACTTTCAAAGAAATTAAAAGATATGGCAACTAAAGAAGAATTGTATTTAGAAGAAATAGAGATTTTGAAAAATAAATTAAATTAAAAAAAGTCTTCTGTTAAAGAGAAAGTATTTTAATATTTTAAATTTTAGGAGTTAAGATAAAAATTAATTGATTTAGAATTAAAATTGTAAGACTGGGATGATAATTTGGAGAGATGCAAATCATTAGAATATGAGAACTAATCTCTTTTATCTAAAATATAATAATTGGAGAAGTAGATTCAAAGAAAAGAAGAAAAGGAAAGAAGATTAAGAGATGAATGGAATAAACAATATTAAGATTTGTAAACTGAAGTCAAAGTATTTTATCAGTATTATTTAGTATTGGAAAAATGAAATGGACAAAGTCATTATGGAAAATAATCTTGTTCTTTCTAAAATAACACCATCCAAGAAAAAATATTGAATATAATTAATGAGGTTTTTTGAATTTTTAGATATCTAAAAGATGTATTAAATTATTCCAAATTATTGAATATTGTATTATTAATACTCAATAGTCATCACAAAATATTACATCATCTAATTTTAATATCATTTTAACAATTTGAGTGACCAACTAAAATTATTGTTTTTTTGAACTCAACGTTTTCCATATTCTTTGCTCCTTCATGTCATTTGTTCCCTTTTAATTAAATTAGTAGAAATATTAATTCCAATTCTAGGATTTTTTTCTACCAATTACTTAAAATTGGTTAATGGTACACTAGTGATTGTATAAAAACCACAATTATCACCTAAACAATTTTGGAATTCCTTCTAAAGCATCAGCAGATGATCTAACTACATACTTTTAGACTGAAAATATCTAAGATGTTTATAACATTACTTTATTAAAGCTGAATATCAAATTAATAAAATTAAAATAATTTATCTTTTTCTTATTTATATAATATAAATTGGATGTAGTATTGAAGGGGTAAATATAAGGATTTTATATAAAACTTAGAGAGCACAAGCTAATTCAGCATATCCTCTACCATAAACTATTTTGATATCTTTATTTAAATTTCTGATAACACAAATGGCATCATTAATATCTTTTTACTACATCAACAATCATCTTTAGTAATTTAATTTGGGCATTACCAACATCCTTTCATTGGAAGTTTCAAATTAGACTTCTTTGATTAATCCTAACTTTTCCAAATTTGCAGGGGTAATATCTAAAAATCTTTAAATAGTTCTAACACCATTTACAATTGCAATTAATTCAACATCTGTACTTGATATCCAACTAATAGCAGGCAAATCGTTTAATAACAATAATAGGTTAGTTTCATTATCAAATCCCCATTTACAAAGAACATTATTGGAACTACTATTTTTAACAAATTTTATCATGTCAATAAAATATTTATTTTTTTATTGATATAATTGCATCTTTAAGGTTTCCACCTTTTTTTGTATGATGTTTCTTAAATTCTATAATGACACTCTTTCTTTGCAATATCGGTAAAAATCTAGAATTGTAGTCACAACTATTTTTCAAATACTCTTTTTCTCTTGGATACAACATTAGATAGCAGTCCATTAAATTAAGGCTTTGTGATTATTTTTTAAATGTCAATTTTTATCAGTCTTCTCCATATGCTCTAATTTAGGAAATCATTCTACTTAGAGCAACATCAAAAGCTCTATCATAAACATAACTAATCTTCAAGTGATAAATTCCTTTATCTAATAATGTTAATTCTTATTCTAATAATTTGCCAACCATACTTTCTACACTTGTTGTGCCATCTCCAATCTCAGCTTCTTAATGATTTAGAAAATGTTTTTGCTATAAAAGTAATTATTTTTATAATGTATTAAATATAATTGTTAATTTCATCTTTATAATTAATAATTATGCGAAATCGATTCTCTGGATCCTCATTCAAAAATCAAGCTTAATAATACACACTCCATCCTTCTCTTACCTTCAATAGGAAACGCTCCTGTGAATGTTTAGACTGTGGATTACACAATAAAAAAATGCTTTATGTCACAACAGTATTCCCTTAATTTCAACCTTATCAACATATTATTACAACGCTTAAGAAACAAAATGAAATATAGTAGTAAAGAAAACGTATAACAATGAGGAATAAAAGACATCTTATACAAAAGAAAGCTATCATTGACATCATGCAAAAGCAAGAAAATAAGCCAAAAAAAAGACAAAATAGACATCACAATACTGTATTTTACAATCATTAGGCTAGTGGACCTAATCCATAAAGTCTTTACTCTAATGAAATTACCTAAACCCCTTCAAAACCTATTCAAAGATCTCCTAATCTATTTCATAGGTACAATTCATTATCCCCTCGGAAACCCTTTACTGATAAAAAAAATTTGAAAGTGTAGACATTCTCTTAGAAATTAAAAACATTCTATTTGCCGATTACAGCTCCTTTTGAATCACAAATAATATTTAGATTAGAATTATTAGAAGATGGAAAAGCCAGATTCATAAAAAAAACTGGTTCCTAGGATGACTTCACCATTAATCTCAGATTGAATAAATTCTAAGAGGATGATAAAAAGAATGAAGACTAATCTATAGAAAATCTAAATATATTACCTACTTTACAACAAGAAGAAGATGAAGAAGATGAACAAACAGATGAAGAAAATTAAGCAAATATTAAATAATTGACAACATTGAATACAAAAAAAACTTATAAAAATATTTTGAAGTATAATCCAAGAACCCTTTAAAGTTTAGTAGATAAATCATAATTAGGTTAAAGTAAAATTAAAACTTATCCAAAATATCTAAACTAAAATAATGTAATACATTTTCAAAGATCCATAACAAATAATATATCTCCTTTTACCAATATTAATATTACTAGAAATTCTCCAATACCATCAATCAAATTATTAGAAGAAAAAAGAAAAAAACATAAATTTAAACTCCTCCCATTAGAAAATAAACCAAATTCACATTTCGCCCTTACTCGTATTTCCCCAACAACTTTATCTACAATCAAGCCCAATCCTAAAAAAGTCATTCAAAGAAATATTTTCAATGCATCCAGAAAAAAACATAATAAAAACATTACTTTTGGATAATTGTTGATATAAGTTTGATAAAATGCGACATCTCTAATTAATAATTAAAATTTTTCTAATTTCTCATTAATATAAAAAATAAAATTATTAATTTCTTCAAAATTCCTAGTATTGTTTGTTTATAAAGAATTGTCTTGTATATTTTAGATTTCTTTTAGTAACAATGTAAATATTTTTGTTTAGCTGAAATTTAGATATACAATTAATATTGAGCCTCTTTTCTACAATATCTAATTCATTAATCAATCATCCTAATCAGCATCTATCTTTATTTCAATTATAGTATAAACTATTTTCCTTATCTCACTGAAAGTATAAATTTTTAATTATAAATAATAATAGTAAAAAAATAATTATTTTTGGATAATAGATTGTTTAATCATATTATATCAAAAGCTTAATTTTATTAAAGATATGATATCAAGATTTATTCAATTAAAAGTCATTTGAAAAATATGGATAAACATTATGACCTTGATAGATATATTCAGTTTGATTATTGTTTTGCACATATATATAAATAAAATGATGATTTTTTTTCAAAAGATCAGAATTTGAACCTATTTTTTGTACAATTTTACATAGTTTAGAGATTAAAAAAGATATGCAGAAGGAATTTGTAAGAAATAATTATCAAATTTTTAATAAAAATTTACTACAGTTATGTGTTTTGACATTAAGAAATTGAAATTAGTAATTTTTAATTTTATCAGAAATTATAATTAGTCAAAATATCATATCACAATCTATTTATATTGATTTATGGAAATTGAATAAGTTATATTAAGAATTTATTTAAAAAAACAAAAATAGGAAAAATAAGTTAAGAGATCAATTCGAAAGATGTGTAACAAGTAGAGTATATCCTTATTTAGTTGATAGATATTTGGTTGAAGAATCAGTTCCTCTTTTTCTAAAAGTAATAAAAGGTGTTTTTCTAATTGGTTTAACAAATACAAATTAGGCAACATGATCATTGTTTCCACTACTATTGGATCTACTAAATTTTATTTATAAATGCAATACCTTATGGTTTAATGGTCTAATGTCATTTTATATATCTATATAGTTTTAAATTGCTGAACTTATATTGTAGTATGATATGTGCAAGCCTCATCATTTATATTAAGAGATTCTTCCTAGAATTATTAGAATAAATACTTGTTAATTTAAATGGACTTGTAAATTAATAGCATTTTATTATTGTGATGATTTTATTTTTTTTGCATTTGAACAGCAAAGCATTTTATAAAATATTAAAATAAATTAAATAGTGTTTTATTAAAAAAATATTTTATTTTTATAATTAAATCAGCATGTTTGTCTACTTATAAATGATTAATTTATGATGCTCCATAAGCTTTTATGTTAAAAGCAATAAACAACACCTCCTCTTTTTTATTATGTAGTTTATCTGTTCAAATCACAAAAGCATACGTTGGTCGAACTTGCAGTTATACCATATTTTGAATGGTCCTTAGTATATGAAAATGAAAAGGCCTGATATAATATATATTTAGTATACTCCATGTTATCTGACTAAATTGGAATATGATTTAGGCACTTAATCACATACAGGTGCTTAGAGACCACCAGTTCCATTACCCCAAGTTTCCATTATCAAGTCTTTTCCCAAAGCTGGTGCTATAACATCAGCATAGAAATCTTCAACAAGATTTTCATTTTTTGAATAAGCTGTAAGAGTAAATCCTCCTTTAGTTGAAATTTTAATTGAGTCTTAAAGTGCAGCCTATATATATATTATTATGAATTACTGATAACACAGTTCCAGATTCTGTTTTGTATGTCTTGGTTCTTGAATTGGTTTTTAATTAATATAATTAAGGGAAAGCAGTTGCAAATGCAGAAGGACTATTTGCTCTATTAGTTAATGTTTCAGCTATTATATATTCTGTTGCCAATCTATTTGCCTCTGTAGTTGTAATAGACAAACACATATAATGTTGACCATTGACTTAAGCAGAAGAAGGCATACCTAATACAATTTAACTAATATTAATTTGAATTGGATATATACTCGTATGCGTCATCAAGCATTGGGAATGTAGGTGTTGAATGAGAGATCAGAAATGCGTTACCATTTATGTTGGCACTCAAAATACCCTTTGAATGGGCTCTATCTGAGATTGTATTCTTATTCCAAGGTTAATCACTCCACAAGACACTCATTACATTATCATTATGAAAATCAATCTAAGCTATAGTTCTTTATAATGGTGATGTTAGATAATCTAATTGGTCAGTTTACCAATCAAAAGTTCCACAATTATTCTTAGCATCACAATACAAATAGTCCATTCCTTAAATGTTGAAATTTATTTACCTCTAGCACTGAAAGTAGTATCTGTTGGCATTTTCAAGATAAACCACCAATCTATAGCATTTCCACTGTGATCAATGCATGTCTATCCAAAGACAAGAAATAGCAATGTAGAGAAGAGCACAAGATTTTTTAAAGACGACATATTGACGTAATTTATAAAGAAATTATTGTCTATAAATAAGAATTAATTGACTTTTAATTAACAATATCTATATAAATATAAATAGAGGTATTCCCACAATATGATAAATTTATTAAAGAATAATATAGAAAAGGTTTCATAAGTAAAATATATATTGTATTAAATTATCAGATTTTGAATTTATATGTTTATAAAATTTAATATGATTTTCTTTTTAAATTTAAATAAAAAAATAAAGTTTGATTTCCAAACTTAAAAATAGATTTCAATTTGAATATTATTTAGTATAAAGAAGATAGAAAAAAATATTATTTAAGAAAATAATAAATATTATCAATATTTTAAATTTTGGTAGGAAGTCTAAAGTATTTATTTATGGTTAATTATGTATGTTTGAATGTTGTTATAAAAATCAAAACTAATAAGCTTTTTAGTTTTGAAACATGTAAAAAAACAGAAAATTTGTATCTCATCTATCTTTTGCAAACCTATATTTGATCTGTAATTAAAGGAAAATTGTAATTTTAAGAAGTTATTAAAATTGATTAAGAGTATAATGATTTTATTCAACATTTTACCATTTAATTCTAGAGATATGGGGCTTATTAATTCTTATGATAAATTCTTTGGGTTGAATATAAATTAATTTATCTAATAAGATTAAAAATTGTTAATCTATTAGTAATTATTACTACATTGTGAATATAATAATGAGAAGTAAACAATATTAAAATTATTATATAGATTTTCAATAGAATCAAAGGAACAATTACAATAGAAATAATATCAATTTTATATCTTAGCTTATGAAATTATCATTAATTGCTTTTTTGTATATATATATTAACAGTATAAAAGGTGTCCTAAAAGTAATAACATCTAATTGTTATTCATTGTTGTTGTTAAAGGACTCATTAAATATTTTTATTATCTAATTGTTAATGAATTTAAATAATATTTTTTTGAATATTCTAATTATTTTAATATAATTATCTCATATAGTCTTAGATGTATGAAATACAAGAATATGATAGTAAATGAAGTGTAAAATATCATTTTATGAATCTCTTCACTTCAATATATGTAATAATTTGTCTTCATGGATTGATCAATAATTTTGTCCATTGAAAACCGACTTAATATTTTTAAATCTTTTTTAGATCATTTTTAGCATAACTTAATTTAGAAATGAATGAGATTGGCAAAAAGGAAAATATCTAGAAATCAGATAATAATTTTTAGTATAAGTAATTTAAAATAATGTAAATTACATGTATGTTTGCTGTTCAATTTTTAGTGTAGTATTGAATCAATAAGACTATAAATTTTAGAATTCTCTTAAGGTTTTGAATAGTTCTGAGGATATGACTTGGATATATTTCCATCCTTTTTAATATAATAAGATGATATTCAAAGTTCTTCAGCTTTAATTCAAATATGAATAAAAATCATACTCATTAATGAGTGTTCCCTTGATTAAAGTTTTCATTATTAGTCTTGGTTTGCATTTACTTGAAAACTATTTGAATCCTGCTTACTTGGGTGGTCGATGTCTCAAAGTATAGAGAATGGTTTTTGCAGTGGAGTAATTTAAATTACAAATGATAGCAGCCTATATAAATTGATATGAATAAATGAATACATCTTTGATTCTAAGCTTTTTATCAAGGACAAGCGAAATTAATTATTTCTTTCTATCAGGAGAAATGTGACAGTATTTTCTTTTAGACTTTTTAATGGAATGTTGAATCCCTTTAAGTTGTTATCGAGTCTTGACTCTATAAGTATGAAGTGAAGATAAAGAAGCATCATCGAAATTCATTACAATTCTGTAAATTAGAAGTGTTAAAAAAAGATTTTTTAAATAAATTGCAAATGAATTTATTGGGTTTTCTAATCAGATAATGGAGATTAATTATTGTTTTCTACCTTAATACAAATATTAAAGACTTTTTTTAAATAAATATTTCTTATAGATATAAAAAAGACTGAATTGATAAATTGAACTTTTAATTATTAATAATAATAAATTAATCACAATTTTGGGTTTCTATTTTTTAACATATCAACTACTTCTAAAACTTCCTTGCAAATTGTCTAAATTGATTTCAAATCAGCATTTTAATGAATAGGTAAATATAATATCTAATAATCTTTATATATATTTACATTCTTGAAATAAGATAAAGTCTTATTTGGATATTGATAAGAACTTCCAATAGGACTTTCAACAATATCTAATTATGTTACTCCCATATAAGCATCAATCCCTCTTGCATTTAAAATTTTATATGTAGTCTCAGGATTTGGTACTACAACTGGATATAACCTAAATATATTAATTAATTCAAATCAATTACCAAAACTTTCTATCTTCAACAGCATGTCCTGGTACAATCAGACCTCCTTTTTTTAGTATGCTTTAACCAACTATTTATCTTTATGTTGCCATATTAAATTAATCAACATCAAATGTTTTCATTCTTAATGCTAACATTACTAACATAGGATCAGGAACTCTAAATCTATATGTTTGAAGAACATCTGATGAATTCTTTTAAAATCCTCTTATACTATTGACTACAAATTCTTTATAATCCCAATTTGGAAAAAGATTTATAAATATCCATCTTGAACTTCTATTTATTTTTTGGCTATTTAATAATATCATAGGTATTAAATTTTTTAGAGTTCTTTTAAAATAACTAAAAAGATTAATTCATCTTTACTTTTTTTAAGACCATTTTGGATATGATTCTTATAATGCCTTCATTTTTCTATACAAAGCTTCATTATTTCTGATTACACTTATGGACCCACCGAAAGCTGAACATGTTTTTATTGAACCAAAACTAAATGTAGAAAAGTCAACGTTAGGATTTACTATACATCTTAATAATCATATACATTTTGCATTAGGAGCCACAAAACTCTCAGCTTCATCTTCCATTATAAATAGTCCTTTTGACTTAGCCCAATCTATAATTTCTGAAGCATCAAATTTTGCACCAAAAACATATGAAATCATTATTCCTTTTGTCTTTTAATATAGAAAAATATAATTACTTTATGTGTGTAAAATTGTTTAAATTAATCTAATGTACATCCTAAAGTATCTGCATTTACTTCTACTGGTACTGGTATTATTCCATTTAATCTAAGTACTTAAATCATATCTGGTATATTAATTCCAGTAATGATAACCTCTGATCCTGGTGGCCAATTTAATGCCTTGATATTCATACTAAGTTTACTTGTAAAACTAAATCTGTAGAAGCCCTAACACACAAAGTTATCAATATTTTTTAATTTTTCAATCCTCCCAACCAAATTTCTTCAATCTGCAAAAAAAAGAGCTTTTAGAAAAACAATTACTTCCTAAATATATTTATTTTAATCCACAGGCTTTAAGTACGCCCATAAAGTATTAAATAAATGTCTATATTGCATATCAATATATAAGGCTGAATAAGGGACGATCTAATCGCCTTTAATCATGATTTTTTAACAATAAAATAATATATAAATTTGATAAAAATGAATACACAAAATCTTTATTTTTTATTTAAACTAAATGAATTAAATACCCTAAGTATTAAGCATTTTTAAAAATATTCTCTTACCCTTAATTATCATTGATTTTGTATTTTTCTTTAAGCTATAGTATACATAGCTTAGGATTAAACGAAATTTCAGTCTATCTCTTCATTTAAATACAATATAAGACTCTGAGAATAGTTTAATATTTACTTTGTCATAAATTTATAATTCATGTTGAAAAGATTAAATATCAAAATAAACCTTACGTTAGGTTAGGCTTAGTAAATATGATGTATTCTACATACTAATTAATAAGATACTTGTAATAACACCCATAATATTAATATTTATTATAAAAACAAATCTCTATTTTCATTTTAACTATATAAAAGACTAAAATTATAGATTTGTTAATAAATGAACTTAATATTTTCTGGAAAATGATTGATGATCAATTTATAATATGATTTTATTTGATTTTCAAAATATAAAATTACATTTATTTAATTTGGATAACATATATATAACATTAAGAAAGAATGTAGTTTGTGTTTATTTCTTTAACAAATTTAATAACATAGGAGGATGTTCTTATTTTTTTAGTAAAAATTTTAACAGAATGAAATAAATGAATTGCTTATTTAATAATAATAAAGACTGTTTTAGTAAGTATATAAATGTACGCATTGTTTTATTAATATATCAAAAATCTGATCAATTGTACTGAATTTAGATATACATTTACCTTATGAAAACCAATCAATTCATAATTTTCTCTAAAACATCTTCTACAGACATTCATACCATATTTTCTGATTAAACCTTATCTAGCTGCACATACTCTGCATTCTAAAGTATTAAAAAATGAATTACCTCTTGAATCTTTACCATAAGTTCTTGGGTGTGTTCTGAATAAGTGATTTGGCATGCCTTGTTTTATTTTATTTAAATATTTATTAAAATCATATTAAATTACAAGAATTTAGTTGTAATAGCAAACTAGAGTTATTAGAAACTATAAATCATTTGATATTAGCATATAATTTATATTAAGAGAAGTTATTAATATTTATTATAAAAAATGGATGAATTATTCGATCAATTAGAATTAGAGATTTCTGAATGTAAGACTTCAATGTCAGAATATGATAGAAATTTAAATAAATGTTTAGGAAAATATGAAATAAGTACTAATTTCTTACATTACAATAGAATCCATATAAGAAACATATCAAACTGTCATTTATTCATAAACAAATTAAAATTGTTAAAATGCACCTAGTTTTTCTTTTACCAAGACTTCTAGATTTAGAGAACCTTAAAAAGATAATTTAATAAATGAACTTCCTTTAAATGTTTCAATATCAAGCATCAAAGTAAATTTGTTATTTCTACTATCAAGTAAGCTTAGCCAAGTGTAACATTTACTAAGAGTTAAAGATTTTAAGAGACAAAGGTTATTCCAACTACACCATTAGAACCAAATTATGATTTTGTAAAGAGAAAAGCTAGTTCTGTAGTCATTTCAGATTCAAAGATTAGAGATGATGATGTTTCAACTCAGGCATCCATGATAACAGTTGGGCCAGGAAGTTATGAAGTCGACATAAAGGAGAAGAAACAATCAAATCGTACATTTGCAAAAGATGAGAGATTTTTAAAATTGAAAGCAAATAATCAAGAAGCAATTAATCCAAATTACAATTCTATTCGTCCCAATATTCCTATTCCAAAAATTAGTAAACCAATAAAGAAAAACAAATACTAAATTCAAAGAGATGAAATTAATCGCATGAATGAACAGCTAAGATTAGAAGAATATAGAAGAAGACCATTAGAATTAGATAAAGCAATTAGATAAAATATAACAGGAGTAGTTATTAAATAAGCTTATAATGATTTTAATTCACATCCAAAAGGATCAAAGATGAGAAGATTTTTGATTAGAAAATTATTAGATGATATACAAGCAATAACAGTAGGACCAGGCTAATATGAGATTCATGAAGAAAAACAACCTTGTATGGTTGTATTCAAAAGTCATTCTACAGAAAGAAGAATCCCTCCTGATAGACCTGTACCTGGACCAGATTATTATTATTCTAAAGATGATTATATTAAACCAAATCCTATATAAGTGAAATTTGGAAAAGAAGAAAGAATTAAGAAGATAAAAAAGGAAGATTTGGATATGAGACCAAATCTTGAAGTAAATGTAGATCCCATAAAAACAAAAGCTCCAGATGCTGTTAGATGGGATATTGAACCTACTAAACCAAGAATGACTTTTGAGATCGAGGACAAGGTAGCTCCAGGATATTATGATCCATCTCATGTTTAAGTGGATCCAGCAATTAAAGGAGTAAAAATTGCTCCATTAAATGAAAAAAATGATAGAATTAATGTGATCGATCCTACTAAAGGGAAAGACTTTAATGATTATGAAGAGCAGCTTTATCCTACATTAGATGGAGTAAAACCATAGATTTAAACTTTTAAATATCATGAAGATACAGATGTAAAACCAATACATCCACCAGATAAAGAATTATTTCCAGAATAACATAAATTTTATGATGTGAATATGGATGCTATCAGAGAATAATTAGTTTAAGATATTCAATTAGCAGGTAAGAAAGGCAGAGGTTTAAAAGAATGGCTGCAATATTTTGATGATATGACTATGTTTAAGAAATATATGTAGAGAAGAAATAAGCAACCAGAAATAGGTGAATATGATGTTCAATTCAAATAGATTGATAAGGATCTTAAGACTGTTAATTTCAATAGATATGTAGAAATTGATCATGATCCAATCTAAAAACCTGATGGACCTTTAGATGGAGATAATTTGATTTTGAATCCTGATAAACCTAAACCACATATTCCTACTTTAGATTTTGAAAAATAATCAGATCCAAGACCTGAACCTGAGATAAAAGAAGTTGAATTATTATTGAATGTTGATTATGCTCCAATAAAACCTAGAGTTAAAAATATTCCAAATTTTGAAAAATAATTAGAAAGACCAGAAGGACCTTAGATTAAAGATTAAGAAGCTATTATTGAACCTAAATTTGATTAAGTTGAAAAAAGAGTTATTGGAAATGTTAATTTTGAAAAATAACCAGAAAGAGCAGATGATCCTAGATATTAACCTAAGGTTGATAACAATGTCTTATAAATTGAAGTTAAACCACCTAGAGATGAAAGAACAGCTGTTTAAATGAATTCAAAAACAAAAAGATTTGGTGAAAAATAAGGTGATAATGATTAATAATAATAATAATAAGTACCTGCTGCAATTAATATATCTAAAATAGAAAAAGCTGAAAAAGCTATTAGACCAAATATACCAGGAGTGAATTTATCAAAATAAAGTGGTAGAAAAGATTTTATTATAAAATAAAAAAAATGAATTAATTAATTTTAGTATTGAATTTTATATAATACAAACAAACAAAAATATATATATTTAAGTAAGGAAATCATTATTTTGCCCATTCTTCTAAAAAATCTGATTCACAACTATCATGAATATCTGATTCAGATTTTGTTATATCATTTTATTTAGATTGCATATAATACTTTTAATCAAAACTAATTATTAAAGGAGTTTATTTAATTGGAAGATCTTAACTTGATCTGTTAGATGAATACATTTTATCACTACAAGTTGATGCACTCATTTCTGAATGATGAGGCTCTATTTATTTTTAGTAATCTTTTATTGTAATTGATTAATTTAATAAATGTTTTATTACATCCTAATGACTAACAGTCCATTCTTCTATTATAATTAATGTTATCTTTGTAGATAATAATTCTTTTTTATAATTTTATGCCATTTATATTTATTAATCAAATTGAGTGAGAATATTTTAAAATGTTTCTTCATCTACTTCTGATAGAATTTCTTATCTATTACTTAATATATCATTTTAGATATTAAAAACAACTGATTGAATTTGTGTAACTTCATCTCTTAGATTTTTGAATGTTTTATCTAATTCTTATTCATGATTATTTAATTAAGTGATTAAATCTTTTCTTTTTTATTCCAATAACGTTTATATGTATTTAAATTAATGATCAATCCTACATTTTTATTAGGCATAATGTTTTTTAATAGTTTATAATTTTGAATTCAAACTTTTGATACTATTTTAATCTTCAATTGCAATATGATTACAGACTTATAAAAATTCTTCAAGAATTTCATCTTTATTTAATTAAGAACATAAACTTTCTTGTAAACTTTGATGAATTTGCCAAGATTTGGACATCTTAAATATTTTATATATATATATTAATAATAATAATATAATTATATTAATTGTTTATTATAATACTTTATTGATTATTAATTTCACTCTTCATCTGAATCAGTTTAATTAATGGAATTATTATTACCCTCTTCAGTATCATTATCATGGTCAGATTAATGTTCTATTGCCATCTCTTAGTTATTATATCCTAATGATATCACATATTTATAATACCTGGAATTTTATTATTAGATGACAATGTATTATATGGAGCAAGCCTTTCACAATCTAATTCTATATCAATATTTTGTGGTGCCATTTTACCACTAAAAGTAAGATGTACATAATCACCCATAATTTTACTAACAGTTGCAGTAATCCATTAATTTTAATCACTAAAAAATTATATTTATATATAATTTACTAGTAATCTATTTTATCATCAACTTTAACAATTTTATCAGTTAAATCATCATCACTATCAAATTCTTCATTTTATTTAAATGGTTCTTTGGCTAAATTCTAAAATTATAATTTCTTCCAATTCAAAAATTTGGCATATGCTTAAGATGTAATAGGTAATTAAATATTATGTAATCTATGAATACACTTTTATGAATTAGAATTATTTGATATTAATTTCTCATTTGGATTTGATTGAGTATTATTTGTTTCTATAATCCATTACCATAATCTTTAATTCTTAATCATCCATTAATAGACTGCTTGATTTCTAAAAACTATCTAAAATTATTTTTATTATATATAAATACTCTTAGAATATATTATTAACACACATCTGTTTCAAAGAAATATTGAGATTATTTTTACATAACTTCCAATAATTTACTCATTCCTAAGTGAATCTAAAAATATAATATATATATATATTTACTCTAATTTATTGTAATGAATCTTTTAATGTGAATAATCTTTTTAAAACAACTAAATATTTTCTATATTCCTTATATTCTTTATCATTTATTTATTTAATAATTGCTTAAATGATTTATTCAGTTTATTTTTAATTATCTTAGGATAGAATTGATAGAATATCAGATATCATCCTAATAGCCAATTTACAATCACCTTCTTCTAAAATCCCCATCAAAATTGGATTATCAAATTATAATAGATTTTATTCTTCTAAACTCAAAGCATTCTTTCCTTCTATTTTGAGTAAGAATGCTATTAATCTCCACATATAAACTCTGCTTGTAGATGGACCAGAATTCATAGATTTTTCAAATTTCTTTTCAAGAAGTTCATCATAATAATTAGATGCAATATCTACATTTTAAATATTTTAATATCCTAAGAAACTATTTGGATCTTCTGTAAATTGTTTAACTTTAAGATCATCTAATTTTCTCACACTCTCTTTAGATGGAATTAATAATTTACTAAAGTTAATTTACATTGTATCCATAAATAAATCTAAAAATTTACCCACAATCTTTTTAGAAATCAAATATTATGAATTCTATTAATTTAATTTAGCAAATCTATAAAATAGATCATAATATTCAATAGAATTTTTAAGACTTCTCTTTAAATCTGGTATCAATCGAATCCATGAATTTATTAAAGAAGCAACTAATGATTTTGGTTTATCATCTACATATTCATATAAGATTTTATATCCTTCCTTTTTTTATACAGTATCTATTGCTGTCACAATCAATGATATTACATATTTTCTCACCATTTTCTTAGAACAATCAAATTAGAATTCTCTTATATATTGATATTAATTAAAACATTTTAATAACCATTCACATGTATTTGGAGCTCTTTTTAAAAGCTCTTAAATATCTAAAATATTATTTTAAATAAAAGTTTTATCATTTTCTCTTACTGCACAAGTCAAATAAAAAAATACTAAAGTTTATACTATTTATTCTGAAACTTAATTAGATTACAATTCAAATTTTATTAAATTCTGTATAAATATAAAGTATTCAGGACTGAATATGAATCTCTAAATTTAAAATTTCCTATTTTCAACTTTAATTTCATCTAAAAATTGGGAAGTTTTCTAATCAAATTCAATATCCATCAATTCTTCTTTACCATTTAATGGTTAAACTCTTTCATAAAATAACATATAAGCACTTTTTGATTTATCCTTAAATTAATTAGGATATTTAGTTTTTAAAAATCTATCAACACCTCCAAAACCATCATTTTTTACATCCTTTATATCTGCAGGTGATACAAATATATCATTAAATTCATACCATTTATTAAAATCACATCTATCTTAAATAAATGAATAATAATGTCCAGAATCAGCAGAACCAATATGAATAACAACACCTGTTAATCTATATTAATAATATTCTGCTGGATTATCTTATCCATTTTATGGATTTGCTCTATTCTCCTATTGTCTTAATCCTTATTGTGAATAAGGTAAAAGATCTAATTCAAATGGAAATTCTATTCTTTCGTTTATTTTGGCTTTTGCCATTAAATCAAAATCAAAATTGAATCTCTTTAAAACTAAAATTAGATGATCTGGTAATTTTTTAATACAAGTTCTCTTTAAAGCACTTACTTTTTTATTGCATTATTCACAACTATAAGCATTTTCACCTTCTAATAAATCCCCTTATACCAATGTTTATAAACACTCTTCTAAATTCTTTTTATTAGCCACTGGTAATGATATAGCAAAGAATGGTTCTTCTCTTTCTGAATAATGAGGACAAGTCTTGCCTATTATTTCATTAGATATCACTCCACCAAAGTTTCTTTTAACTAAATCTTCATCAGTAGTTGATTTTATATTTAATTCTATTCTATCCATTAACAAATTACAAAATTCATCAACATCCATTTATTCAAATATATTTGTTGGATTTCCATCAAAATCTTTAAATGCATGACAGAATTTCTTTGGATTGTGATATTATTTTTATGAATGTTTAAGAGCCAAAAATAAACATTTCAATTAATGTATTAAATTCTCTTCTTATGCACATGTACTTTTATCCTCAATTTATAATAATTTTTCTCTAAAAGCAGGTACCATATATAATTATTAAAGTAAAGAATTCATATAACAAATACAACCTAAATTATATAAACCAACATAACCAGTTGATGATTTCTCATGAAATTTACTTTAAATATTCCAATCATTAAAATTCTTTGTTCTCCATGTATGTGTATAATGTAAATGAGATACCTCATTTAAGAATTTTTGCATATTTTAAGGAGATCTTAATAAAGTAAAGAAACAATTGAATCCAGCTGTTCGAGATTATTATGATTTACATTTACATCTGGTTTCTCCTTCTTTTTCAAATAAATAACTTAATATTTATTCAAATAATCCTTAATGATTTGATAACTATTAAATTCTATCAATTAAAACATTTAACAATTTCAATAAACCAATTAAAATTTAATCTTAATCTTTTATTGTATTTTCATTAAATGGTAACTCTTCTAATTTCTATCTAATATAAACCAATAATTCCTCAAAATTTAATTTTTATATAGCCAAATTTTATTCTTGTTATATTAAATTACAACAAAATTCAAAAAAATGATCACATTTATATTTATTATTTTATATTACATCCTTTAAAACATCTTCTAAAACAATTTTAATTAGTAATCTACTTTCAGAAGTATTTCTTAGATTTAATAATTATAAACTATATTCCTTCTTTAATTCATGATTTTCATGTTCAACAAAAAAAGTATAAAGTTATTAATTTAATTCAGAATTTTTTATATATAATCTACATCCATCTTAATCTAAATACAAAAAACATTTTCTAAGAAGACGAGATTCTACATCATTCATTTCTTTTTATTAAGGAGATTTCCTTTATCCTACTTCTAACTTCTTTTTACTTTTAATGAAATGACATAATTATTGAATACTTTCTATTATTTTTGACTTAATTTATTCTATTATAAATATTTCTTTAATTCTAATTCTTGGATGACTTAAAATTTCTAAATAAGTTAAACAACATTTAATTTCAAGAGGACGTTATTAAAACTAGAATGGCTACTCCAAAAATTTTTAAGTTATCAAATCAACACCATCATTTTTATTAAATTATTCACACCATTATTCATTTTCTAATAATGCTTATATGATTTATAATACATAAAACATATCAAAAAATTGATGATCTAAGTATTATTTCCAATCCTTACAATTCTCTACTTACCTCTTTTTTATAATATTGATAGGCAACCTATTAATTAAATCCCAAACTTAACTTAAAAATTCAATACTTTCTTATTTATCTAACAATTTAAACAAAATTTCAAATGTACGTTATTCTTAAGAAAGGTAATTTTTAGGATGATTTTTATTGTTAATCTTCACTTTCACAGTAGCTAATTAATAAAAGGCTTAACTGACAAAAGTTTCAACCACATCAAATTATTATTCAATTGGTTTATTTTCAATTGTAATATCTAATTATAGATATGCAACCTATAATTCTTCAGCAAATTTCTATTTCCATTGATTAATTGTAGTATTGTCTCCTTCTTTAAATTCAATGTACTTAATCAAATTATTTGGTTATTATAGTTAAACTTTGAATGTAGTATAATTAATAGGTTTAGAAGATTTCTTAGAAGGAGGTCCACTCTAAAAGTAATTAAATAATTGCAATAATAGATTAATTGATCTTGTAGTCAAACTTGGACATTGCTATTAAATCAAATCTAAACATTTGTCCATCATTTCTTAATAAATTTTATCACATTATTAATCAAGATTTTAATTTAATTAAGTATACAGATTAATAATAAAATAAGAGATTTATTCTAATAATAGTTGATCTTTCACTTTTGCAAAGATTTCCCAAATGGCTGATTTTCCTTCAAAATTATGATCATTAACTAAAAATCTGTATAAGTTATTAAAATATTTTAATGTTTGACGAGATTGATTATATTGTTTAAAGAACACTTAAAATAATTCAAAATCTTCAATTGTATAACTAATAATATATTAGAAATATTTACTTTTCGTAATCATTTCTTTCTGGATTACATAAAATCTATTTAAAAAATTTAGATTCTCCTTCTTTATCAAAATAAATTGGACATATTCTAAATGAATTTGTATCCATTTAATAATTAGTTATAAATATCTTATTTAATTCTTTCTTTTATATACCTCCTTTAGTTTTTGTAGACAAAGTATCCCAAAGTCTAACACTTTATTCATAAGTAATCTTAAGATGAGTTTATGAAAGTAGATAATGTAACATTTATAATCTAAAAAATACATTTTAACTAAATTTTTAGACTCCATTTATGATTATATCTTATGGAATTTCATTTTTAAAATATTATCTCACCTTTTCCATATAGACTTCAATATCTTTTACAAATAGTTCAATAATATTATATTTATCATCTGTAGATTGAATAAGTTCTCTTTTGCCATTGAAATCATCTTTAAATTATTTATCTAGGAAATAATGTACAAAACTAATTGCTTAATAAACAGATTAATGACTACCAATCAATTCAAAACATTTGCCAAAATAACATGAAATAAATTGTTTTGTCTATTAAACTTATGAAATGATTTGTCTGGCTGCAGAAAAACACTATTCTTAAATAACACTATTTGTTAATTGATCATCCCTATCTTGTAATAATTCCCAAAGTTAATTAAAAGTCATAAATCTCTTCTCTGGATTTAGTTATAATTGTTATTCATGAAATTTCTAAGATAAAGCTGATTCAGTAAATGTTTTGATCATACTTACAATATTTTCATTATATTTAGAGTAGGATATAAGAGATATATGATTATATAGTTTTTCAATTCCTTGAAAATTTAAATATGGTGAAACAATCTTAAAAAATTCATATAATGCTAATTAAGTAGTTTCATGTTTATCATAATTATTAATCCATATTTTATCAATGTAATCTATTTGAAATGCTTAATTTCGACATAAAAACACTGCAACATCACTTGATCTTTTAATCAATTCAGGATGCACAGAATCTCCTAATAATGTGTAATCTAGAATTTTATTTTATGAAATCCATTTAATTAAATCATCTTTATTGATTGAACTCCTAAATTTTAAATTAGTTTATTAATCAAATTTTAACTTCTCTGTAAAATCTTTAATCTCACTTATTCCTTTTACTCTCTTTTCTAAAAATGAAGATTTTAAAAATTTCAGTGATAACTATAATTAAATTTCATCTGTTAATCTATTTAGTTGATCCTCTGTGAATCCCTTTTGAAAATAATATTAATGATCTGTAGTGAGATCTTTAACTTAATCAATATCTGTGTCTTTAATATCTTAAATTGTCATATTATTCACTCTATTTTATAACCATTCAAATGTCCTCTTTGCCATTTATGCCTAATCTGATTATTGAAAATATTAGGACAAATATTTTTATGTTAATACTATCCTATTCATTGCTTTCAATGGAATATAATTGTATTCAGTATTATCTTAAGGTTTCAGTAATCCTTCCCATGCTTAAAGTCCTCCTATCTATCTAAAGTATAACATTGTTCTCAAATAAAATGGCCAAGTCTTCCTGATGCATTTCATTATGTCTTAAGCTCCTTGATAGAGATTCCAATCATCAATATTGGGATTCAAAGTTAAATTTTAAAAGTTTTATGTTGGAAAGAATTTTTCAAAGTACTATTAAAGATTATCATAGTTTAGCTTAAATTTAATTTGAATAGGATTACATAGAAGAAGGAGTTTTCTTGTTTCAATAATCTCCAAATGGAACCAAAGATCATACAGAAGGCTTCACACACTTCCTAAAGACAAGCTGCTATTGAGACTCGTTCATCAAGGATGTACAATTCTTAATTGTTTTGGAATCTCATATACTGAGTTAGTGAGAATATTAGCTTACATCTGCAAAGTACTTGGGGAACTACTCGAAATACCACTTAATAAAGTTGTAGTAAGTTTTTATGTATTCCAATACTAATGGCAATTCTTTTGATTAAAATTCACTAGAGAGTACCATGTCTAACCAAATGAATTATCTCACACGCACAGATAAACATATTTCAATTGGTGAAAGACCTTGAAAATTATTTTACATTATAGAATTTAGTTCCTTTATATTTTTCTCACATTCCTCTCTTGAATATTTAAGGTAATCACGTGAAGTCTTGCTTTATCGATAATCATCTCCAGTGTAGTCTTAATGTATATAATTACTTACTTAATGTGAATCTTCGAGCAAAATTGATCCTATTTTGTGATAATTTGATTATCTATTATATTTAAGGGATACACATTATACCTCATTTTCCTTCCTAGATAACCCATCATATGTGATTTCAATTTCTTTTTCACTTTTTTACAAAATGTACGCCAACTTATGTTACTTGCTTCCTTGATGGAAAACATCAATGTAATTCCCGACAAATAACTGTTCATTCAATTCGGGTTTCTTTTTACTCTTCTTCACGTCCATATTTTTATTTAAATTAATATTTATGAAAACACAATAGGATACCACCATTTTTATTAATTCATATTTAATACATTATGTTCTGTATTTAACTTGCACACCATAATGCATATAATATATTTAATAAAAACCAATTGTCTTCCCGCCTATACTCCCCCCTCTCTAAAGCTATATAATATATAATTTTTATAATAAGAGATTTATTATATTTGGTTTGTCAATTCATTTAGATTTCTAAACTAGACAGAAATAACTATTAAAAGTTTTTGTTTCAATTTAATCTGTAATTATAATAATTAATTATGAATATTGATTTTTCAAGAATTCTCAATCTAGTAAATGAAATACCAATTCAAGTTTTTAAACAGAGTTGCTTAACTAAATTACCAGAAAAACAAATGGATGAAATCAATAAAACCACACCCATTTTAACATCCTAATTAACTATTTATTATAGCATTTAAGAAAGCTTCCTCAACATTACTGTACTGTTCATACCCAATTTACTTGTGATTGCTGATTAATACTTAGTACTCTCTAATTGTAAAATTACAAAGTTGAAATAATGTTACAAATATGATGCTTATGGTATATAACTATCAAGTTCAACAGGACATCTTTTGATGTTCTTTAACAACAAATAGCAATATTTAGAATGGATGCCTAAATTGAAATCCTTTTGCAAGTTAACAAATTTCTCAAATAAGTTTTGTTTATTGGAATAGATCATCAAAGATTATTATATTGTCCAGCACAAAAAAACCAAAAAATATTATACATCATATGTTCATTCTATAAGAGCTACATCACCAGTCGATATTTTGCATAGTGAAATACAAACCTTGAGAAGCATAAAACATCCATCTTTATTAGATTTGAAATGGGTATATGATGATAACCATTACATCTATTTAATATTTGAATATTTTAGATGTGAGAAACTATTGGATCTCCTTAATTAAGGTTTGATTTTGGATCAAACACAATTAGCATCAGTAATTCTGCCTTACTTAATTTTAGATAATTTTGCAATTATTGTAATCTCTCAAATTTTTAAGAAAGAATAACATCTATCATGGTAACATTACACCAAACAACATCCTTATCAATACATAATCTTCCTTTCTTTAACTATTCCTAGTTAATATGGCATTTATAAGTCGTATTGACTCTGAACCTCTAGATTAATACTTATCAAATGTTCATGAGAGTTATATAGCACCTGAAATATAATAAGGAATTGCTAAACCTTCAATTAATAGTGATTTGTATTAAATAGGAATTGTATTGTATTTTTTGACATTTTTTGTTCATTAAAAAAGAAAAGATGAAAGAGTGGATAAAATTTAAATGGAATTAATTGATAAAGCAGAAGAATATCTGTCATAACTTGATAAAAATACTTAATGTAAGAACTATTTAATTAAAGATAAGTATAAAATGGTTTATTGTGCTTCTCAATTAGACCTATTGAGAAGGTTGCTTGATAAAAAAGATCATAGAATAAAATTAGAGGAAGCAATTAAACATCATTGGTTTATTAATATCAAATAGAAATTAAAGCCAAAAATTGAACGTAGAAAATAGCATCTACCATCATTAAAGACAATAATAGAATTATGTGAATAAAATGAATATTCTAAAAATTTTGAGAAATAATAAAAAATAATAGATGAGGATTCTGGTAATTTATTAATTTATATAACAATTAGTATTAGAAGAAAATAATTTGATTGAAGTATTAATGCAATAATTAGAGCAAAATTAATAATCAAAAAGACCATCAAAAGAGAATCATGAGAAATTAAGAATGTTTGAGTAATTCAAAACTCAAATAGAATGTGAAAAGACAAGTCAAGAAAAACAATTTGTATTCTCCAAAAGTATCATGTGATGAACATATTATTAAGTTTTATACTATATAAAAATCAATAACATCCCTATCTATAAGTAGAAAAGTTTAGTGGATTCTATCCATAGGGAACACTATAATTTCTAACATATGGTGCATAATGTTATGGCATATAAGGATAATGCATTGGTCTAATGATATTGATCATTTAAATGATTACCTTGAGTTAAGTCTTTCGTAATTGTATTAAGATTGTCTCATTAAATCTGAAGCACTTTGATATTGGCGATGAGGTTGATATTATTAATAGAGAGAGTTGTAATTATCAGTAGGATGTTAAATATATTAACTTTAACGAAGATTCGTTTATGAATGTTATCTCTCCTTCTACTTCACTGTTGAAGTTCTGAGAGAATTAGAACCCTATAATTTTGATTCATATTGTTTAAGTTGTCTCATGAATCCAGGATTGGGATTGACAATGCGTCGCTAGTTTTGAACATGTTTAAATGCTTATTCCAACGACATATTTTAAGTTTTCATAAGATAAGCAATAACAATAGTTGCAGATCTTGATACTCCTGCATGACAATGTACCAATACATTTGTTTGCTATCGATTAATATCTATAAAATCGATAGCTTCTTCAAAATACTTACTTAAATTTACAAAGTCAGCATCATCAATTCTAATAAACTACTCTATACAAAACAATATTATACCTTATGAGCAATATGTGCATCATATGTGTAATCCTTGGTGCTCATTACAGCTAATATTGCACCAATATCATGATGGCCTAATAGTTTCCCATTACCAGCACTCTCAATATTACCTAAATATAATCCTCCTTTCCCATTTTAACCCTAAATTATACAATTCATTGGGTCTATCATATTATTTTATATATGATACCTCCTAGTTTTGGCATTAAATAAGTGTGAAACATTTGCAAACAGATAAATTAAAAATAATATTCAATTAACGAAGTATTATATTAAATTTTTATATTCAAAGTACCAATTTTATTAATCATTATTGTTTCATATTATTAATGCTTCTTCTAATTATACTTTACTTTATTTCTTTAAAGATTAGAAAATTCTTTTTTTATTATTTTTTTAATTCAACTTTTTATATTACTAAACAAATTCTTTTATTACAATTCATTAATTTTCATAATAAATATAAAAATGAAATCTAGATTTCTTCCAACAGGTGATAAAGTAATTGTTCCAGATATTAGAAACACAGCAGAATATGGTAAATTATTTGAGGAAGAAATATTTTAATCTAAAATTAGAGCTTAAAGAGAATATGAGATGAAACTTTAAGAATTTTTAGATTAAGTAAAAGTTGTAGATGATTTCATCTTTAATATTTTAGATATAATCTCATCATCTCTTTAGAATTCTAAAACTCCAGATCCTTCTTTACTTAGTGAATTAAAGAAATTGAGATTATCTCTTAAATTTGATGATCATTATAAAGAGAGTATAGAACCACTTAATGAAGCTTTATTATGGATTAAAGCTTCTCAGCATCTCTTTTCAGTTATTAATCAAATTAATCTTTTAAGAAATATAATTTGTGCTCCATTATCTTAAGACTATATTAGAAGAATGAAAAACTTTTCAGAAGATTTCGAATTATTACTTAAAGAACATAAATCTATTGAAGTAAAATCTCCATTTAGTTTTAAACAATAAAAATAACCATATTTAGAATCTGCTTAACAATTTGATGAACTTTTATTAAGAACTCTAAAAGCTATGAAACATATTTAATAATATTCTACTTACAGTATGTAAATAGCTGCTTATTATACTGAATTTTAATATCATATTAATGGTTCTATTAAAGTAAATTAGGAATACATGGAACTTATTCATAGTTTAGTTTTATTTTATTAAAATGAATCATCATAATTTACACCATTATAGAAAGCATTGGAAGGAATTCCAAATAATGGAATATTTTATGAATAATTGGAGAATGTAAAAAATCTTTTACATAATTATAAAAAACAATTAAATTTAGAAGATTTTAAAGAATTAGATTAAATATTCTAAAAATATCTAAAATAATAATAACCAATTTTTTCACTTGAATAATTAAGAATTGATTTATTTTTTATATTAAATGATGAAGAAGACTTTACAACAGTAATGAAAAGTTTTAAAAGAGTTTGTTCTTAATCTATATTAGATTTAGATTCTTATGATGACTTATTAAAAGAATTGATTAATTTCACATCTATAAAAAGAGACAATAAAATTGCATAATTAGAAGATAATTTTATTATAGTTTCATTTGTTTAAAATGATAAGAAGGATTGGTAATAATTGTTAAAATTATGCATAACTAAATTAGGTGTTTTTTTAAAAGATGCAGAAAAAAATTAAGTTGAAAATCCTTAACATTATTTAAATGATTTTAAACATTCAGCTAATTAATTAAGACCTTAAAAAAATACATATAGTAATTCCAATTTATTGTAACTTTATGATAAAATTATTGAATTATTTGAAATTAATTTAAACAAGTGATTTAATAATATTTATTTTTTATTAATTTACATATTTTGAAATGAACAGACTTGTTGATATCTAATACAATTTAAATTCTAATTACTTTCTATATTTTATATTGTGAAATTTTAATTTATTATTAGATATTTAATTTCTATATGTACATGTTGCAATTTAATATAAACTAATATGAATTAATTCATTATGATACAATTTCATTAAATTAAATGGGTAACAAATAATGTTAGGAATCTTTATCAAAGTCAAAGTCAGATATCAGACCTTTAGATGTTAAAAAATGCATAAGTATTAAAAGAGATCCTCTAACTGGAAAATTGATTGGGGTTCCAAAGGAATGGGCATCTCATCTTGATGCTGATCAATAACAAGTTGTTGAGACAAATAAATTACCTGAAGAAGTGAGAACTCATAGATTACCAGATTGTATTCTAGATATAAAGAATTCTATAGAAAACTAAAAGAATTTGAAACAATAATTGAAAATTGACAAAGATGCAAATTTATGTTTGACCGGTCTTAATGTAGAAATAGAAAAAGAAATATATAATAGTGGTGTAAGTAGAAATGAAATTGTAAAAGACACAGTAAACTTTATCTCA